CAGAACAAACCATCATTATACAATAACTTGCCTAAATACCCTAACCTGCCTAGTTTACCTCATTAACCTAGTTAAGCCTTTAAATGTCACTTTAAGCTGTATAGAAGTGTCTTGAAAAATATTTATTTACTGTCATCATGGCAAAGACAAAATAAATCAGTTATTAGAAATGAGTTATTAAAACTATTATGTTTAGAAATGTGTTGAAGAAATCTTCTCTCTGTTAAACAGAAATTGGGGAAAGAAATAAACATTGGTGCTAATATTTCAGGGGGGCTAATAATTCTAAAAACTAAAAACCACCGGAAAACTTCCCTCATAACAATGACAAGAGTTGTGTATAAATTGAAACTTATGGTACAAATAACAATGGTCACAAGACTGACCCCTGAGAGATGCCACTAAAGCCTGTAGTCTGGGTATTGCACCAGCTGTTCGTAAGTTCTTTCTTAAACTGGAATGTAGTCTACACTAGGGGCCTAGTAACTACTGGAAAATTTGTAACAAATTTTTTCTCAGCTCGGTTGCACCACATGTTCTTAAGGCAAATCGTAGTTAGTAGGTCGTGAGCTTTCCGTGAAGTCATGCGTAGTCGCATTGAATTACGTAATATTCAATAAGAAGCATTTAAACCGTTAAACTGCTTTAAAATTCTAATGCATCTATATACAATTGAAGTCAGAATTATTAGCCCCCCTGAATTATCAGCCATCTTGTTTATTTTCCCCCCCAATTTCTGTTTAATGGAGAGATTTTTTTCAGCACATTTTTAAACTTGATAGTTTTAATAACTCATTTCTAAAACTGATTTATTTTATATTTGCCATGATGACAGTACATAATATTTAACAAGATATTTTTTAAGACACTTCTATACAGCTTAAAGTGACGTTTAAAGGCTTAAATAGGTCAATTAGGTTAACTAGGCATGTTAGGATAATTAGGCAAGTTATTGTATAACAATGGTTTGTTCTGTAGACTATCAAAAATAAATAGCTTAAAGGGGATAATAATTTTGACCTCAAAATTGTGTTTGAATATTTAAAAACTGCTTTTATTCTAGCCGAAATAAAACAAATAAGACTTTCTCCAGAAGAAAAGATATTTTCAGACATACTGTGCTTTGTTAAACATCATTTGGGAAATATTTAAATATTAATCATTCCTAATAATTCTGACTCCAACTGTATAACTGTCCTCTGAAAATAAAATGAAAAATTACATATTTATAGTCCAGTACATTACAGTCAGTCACCTGCATCGTGAGTCGTGGCTTGAACGCACTCAAAATACACATTAAGTTATCAAAACATTAAACTTGAATTTACTTTTATATCCTGCACATGAAAGAGAAAAGAGCAGGGAGGAAGCCATGACGAAATTCTCGTTTTAATTGGTGGAAAATTAACACAAAACACTCCTTGAACAAAATTCAACTCTACTTTCACAAACCAAATAAATGCAAACTTTGAGAGGAATTTAAGGCTGTGAGTAGAAGGAGATCATTCTTCATTATTATCATGAGCTCCTTGATGTAAACTAATCTCGCTGTCATCTCCTTTCTACCGTTATTTATAAGGGGACTTTAGTGTTACGTTTAAACTAAGTTCAGTGGTGCAACACCAAAAATATTTAGTAGTGTGTGAGTTGTAACTTAGTGTACCTTTAAATCACAACTATAGGCTACATTTTATCTTACGCACTGCTGGTGCCACCAGCCCCTGGTGTCTAGATTGGTCTAGTTTGCCCACTTTTCAAACCTTATGTGATTTTTCAGATCTTATATTGTAACACTGTGTTAAATGGTTAAAATGAATGACACTATATTATATACATACCATTTATTGGTCTCAATTTCTAAAGTGTTAAATTGTTTCTTAAGCATGTGCTGTTGTTGAACAAATAAAACCTTTAGTTAAAAATGATGGAAAAAATAAATATATATATATTTATACAACAGTCTCGAATCTGATTGGCTGATAGCCATGTAATATTCACGTAATAACTGTACTCATACAGCCTCTTCACCCTTGTGTATTACTCCGCCCACATAGTGACATATATATATATATATAAATATATATATACACACACAATTACTCTGCATCTCTGAATTTATACCATATATTGTCATGAAGTAAATTCTGAATTAATTTGTTTCTTATTGCAATTGTCTGACAAACGATTTTAGGTGAAAATTTTGATTTGATTGTTCTGCAAAATATATATTAATCTGCTTCTCTGAATTGATTTATATAAAACTGTTAACTTTACATAGAGTATTTATGCAAGTGCATTATAAGTAACTAAAAAATTCCTACTGTAAAAATGAAAAGTAATCCCTTACTTTACTGTATTATTTGGCTAAAATTATTTAATTAGTAACTAATTACAACACTGATTCATAAACACTTAAACGTCTGAAAAGCATCTTGATCTCTAAAGAGGGCCATATTCAGCATATTTGAGAATCAGAGGACTGTAAACCAATATTGAAGCTTCCTTTGCCATATTTCATTCCCAAAATGCCTTGTTTGTGCTTTCGTCTGTGTCCTGTGAGCTTGTAAACATTGATCTCTGAAGCTTAACTAATGTTTATCGCACTTATTAAACCAAAATATTCACCAATTTGCCCTGAGAATTAAAACGAACCGAGTTTACTCTATCAACCACTTGCTTGGTTTTATTTGTGATCTTCTTTGGCCACATGAGGTCAGAGCTTCTTGCAAATAAAGTAGTATTCAAGCTCATACAAGAAGATATTGCACATGCATTATAACAACATTGTGCAAGACCTATCATTACTGAGAATCTTTGTACTGGGCTTTTGTTTGATGAAAGCAGGAGGAAAAAAGAAAATCAAGCGAGACATGAAACATTGGCTAGTCTGTCTACAGGGCCGTCTGACCTTGCGTTGTGATTTGGGAGGCATCAGTGTGCATTCAGTAGACTTCAGTTTAGTCATACTTGAGGCTGCGAGACAGAAAATAAACAGAGGGGCTGTGCTTTCGGCAGAGATACGGTGAATAGTTCACATTTTCTGAAAGCAATGATTGAAATAGCCAAAAGCCTTGCCAACAGAATCAGAAATTCCTCTGTTGTGCTGGAATAAATGGCGGAGAACGGTAACTGTTGATTGCGTTGTTGTTTTGGATTAAAGGAAAGAATTATTAGATATGCAGATTTGCTGTTCTTAAATGCAAAACTCATTATTTCTAACGTTTACCAGTATGGTTTGTGCTTAGACATCTCTAATAATGTTATAATGACTTCAAGAGTGAAGAAATGTTCAGAAATACAGTAGGTGTCATTACAAAATATGGTGCAAAATATTTATTATGTTGAAGATATTTCAAGTTTGTTTTTTATACTAATGTGTTTAATTAAACCTTTTTATTTTATATTAATGTTTATTTATTTATTTTTACAAATTAACTGTTTTTGTCACAGTCCACTAAGCAAATGAAAAAAATATATCAATTTTTCTAATTTTTCCAATAGTAATTTATTTATTTATATAGTAATGTGATTAACAGAGCAGGGAAATTATGTTTAACAGAGCATGGAAATTTTCATAGTATGTCTGATAATAAATTTTCTTCTGGAGAAAGCCTTATTTGTTTTATTTCAGCTAGAATAATAGCAGTTTTTAATTTCTTAAATACAATTTTAAGGTCAAAATTATTAGCCCCTTAAAGCGTTATATATTTTTTCAATAGTCTACAGAACAAACCATCATTATACAATAACTTGCCTAATTCCCCTAACCTGCCTAGTTAACCTAATTAACCTAGTTAAGCCTTTAAATGTCACTTTAAGCTGTATAGAAGTGCCTTGAAAAATATCTAGTAAAATATTATTTCTCAATATAACATCTCTCCGTTAAACAGAAACTGGGGAAAAAAATAAAAAAGGGACTAATGATTCAGGGGGGCTAATAATTCTGAATTCAACTGTATACACAGGTTTGGTTTATATTTTGCCCACACCCCTTAATTGTTTTTTTGGCCCGTTATAAGAAAATAGTTTGGGCACCCCTCTTCTAGTGCATATGTGTCGAGTACACTGTTTAAACTATGAATGTTAAGCATTTATGATGTGAGAAATGTGGGTTTAAGTTTCAGTGATATATATATATATATATATATATATATATATATATATATATATATATATATATATATATATATATATATATATATATTTTTTTTTTTGTCTGCCAATTTCGAGATTTTAGTCTTTTATTTTTATTTTTTCCAGTCTAAAATGAAGTACACAAAAAAAACTTTGTCTTTTTAATGTTTAAATTATTCTTTTTTTAAATGTCATTTACAATACAAATATTTTAAGGCCAATTTTCTCCTGCACTGAGCCATAAATCACTTCAGGAGCAACATAAAAATGTATGGTTTTATTAATATCTAAATTCTGAAGATTTTTACAGAGGTATAAACTTATGTTTGCCCGATTACATGTTAAATATTTCTTATAAAAGAATTTTAAATCTGACTTTTCAGACTATTCCGAATTTAACTATTCAATGTTCAGATTTTTTTGTTAGAAATATTTTCAAATTAGCAGATATTTAATTAAATAATGCCTCATTTAAACATTTAAACACATTTTAGAAAACTTAAGTGACAAAAAAAAAAAAAAAGTGTAAACATGAGTGATTTATGTTGCTGTGCTGCCACCTGTTGGCCATACTGTATATATGTTAATTGTTAAAATGTTTTTTTGGTCAAATAAGTTTCATGAAAGAAATAAAGATTCAAATAAAGATTTAAAATTTGACATATTTTGTCCAAATATTACATACAGTATGCAGAGAATGGATTCAAAATAGAAAGTGTAGAAAGACATGACAAAACCATCCCTTACAAGACCTGTTTACAAACATCTAAGAGTGTGATGAAAAATACATGTTAAAAAAATGTACAAACAACTGAGGCATTAGCAGATTTGTGTCGTCTCTTAATTAGTTTAATTCTGTTTTTCAGGAGACGGTGGATTATGCCAATGTCCAGGAGCTGAAGTATTTAGACATGGTCATCTGTGAGTCGCTCAGACTTTACCCTCCTGCATTCAGGTATGGCAAATATTATCATGCTTAGAACTAAGTGAAGATTATTTATAAACTAGGCCTAATTTTGAGAAAATCACATGCTTATCATTGACCATGGCTGGTCCAACATTAACTATCATATGTTTTACCAATCAGACGAATCTAAAGGCGAATAAGTAACCAGATTTCCTTACCTTAGTTATCTTTACCTTGAAGAATCCCCCATCCACCCCTAATCCTACCCCTCCTTCTTTGATTAATCCAGGACAGGGTGGCATGGTGGCTCAGTGGTTAGCACTGTTGCTTCACAGCAAGAAGGTTGCTGGTTTAAAACCAAGCGTGGCCAGTTTTCCCCCGGTAAACATATGCTGGTATAGTTGGCAGTTCATTCTGCTGTGGTAACCTCTAATAATCAAGGAATAAGCAAATTGAATGAATTCGGAGGAGCTCTCGAGACTTATCTGAACTCAGACTCCCCTAGAATGGGAGGAAGCCCCAGACTCAAGGATCTTCTGAGCTCAGGGTTCTCTCCCAGGACAGCATGCCAAACGCTTTATTATCATCAGCTGAGGACAATCTCTTGAAAAGCTGTGTTTTTTAATAAATCTAAATGGTTTTGGGTATGTTGTATGTATGTATTTTTATATTACTGACCCTTGAATTGTGTGTGTGTGTGTGTGTGTGTGTGTGTGTGTGTGTGTGTATGTGTGTGTGTGTGTGTGTGTGTGTGTGTGTGTGTGTGTGTGTGTGTGTGTGTGTGTGTTTGGACACAGAGTTGCTCGAGATGTTGAGGAAGACACTGTGTTAAACGGTCAGTTTCTGCCCAAAGGAGCATCTCTGGAAATCCCTACAGGATTCCTTCACTATGATCCAGAGCACTGGACTGAACCCACCAAGTTCATCCCAGAGAGGTGAACAGCACTTTCTCTAGAGATCATTTGCATCTGTGGTAAAGCTACAGTTTTACATCCTCTAAATTCATGATTTTTTGTTTTACTGCTGACTGGAAATTTTGAGTTTTTTAATAGTTATTTGTTCTTCATTACATATTTTGGTAGAATGTTGGGGGGAGAGAAGCCATTGGGACCCATGGTAAGAACAAAATATGTTATGGAGGTCATTACTGTGGCTGTTTTTCCCCAGCATTCTTCAGCATGTCTTCCTTTGTGTAAAACAGAAAAAAGAAACTGGTGGAGGACGAGTAAATTATGACAGAGTTTTCATTTTTGTTTTGTTTTCATTTAAACTGTGCATTTAGTTGTTCTTCTGAAAACTGTTTTGACTCATTTTTATTCGAAGGATTCAGATTTTTTTTTTTTTAATCTTGACAAAATGAATATCTTTGAAAGGTTTTTGGAAGATTTTATTTTTGATGATAGTATGATTTATATATATGCTATTGTGTGTGTGTGTGTGTGTGTGTGTGTGTGTGTGTGTATACACAGTTGAAGTTGAATTATTAGCCCCCCTGATTATTTTTCCCCCAGTTTCTGTTTAACGGAGAAAAGATTTTTTTCAACACATGTCTAAACATAATATAATAACTCATTTCTAATAACTGATTTATTTTGTCTTTACCATGATGACAGTAAATAATATTTGACTAGATATTTTTCAAGACACTTCTATACAGCTTAAAGTGACATTTAAAGGCTTAAAAAGGTTAGGTTAACTAGGCAGGTTAGGGTAATTAGGCAAGTTATTGTATAATGATGGTTTGTTCTGTAGAAAATCGAAAAAATTGTGTAAAGGGGCTAATAATTTTGACCTTAAATGGCTTTTAAAAAATTAAAAACTACTTTTATTCTAGCCGAAATACAACAAATAAGACTTTCTCTAGAAGAAAAATATTATCAGACATACTATGAAAATTTCCTTGCTCTGTTAAGCATTATCTGGGAAATATTTAAAAAAGAAAAAACTATTCAAAAGGGGGCTAAAAATTCTGACTTCAACTGTACAATACAGTATTTCAACTGTATTGTATCTGGAAAAAATAGCTCAAAGGGACTAATAATTTTGTCCTTAAAATGGTTTAAAAAAAAAAAAAAAACTGCTTTTATTTTAGCCAAAATACAACAGACTTTTTCCAGAAGAAAAAATAATATCAAACATACTGTGAACATTTTCTTGTTCTGCTACACATCATTTGGGAACTATTTAAAAATAAAAAAAAGTGGGCTAATAAATCTGACTTCAACTAATATATATATATATATATATATATATATATATATTTATATATATATATAAATATAAGAATGTCTAAATCAAATCAATTTTATATCTGTGTTTGTTTTTTTCAAATTTCAATCATTTGTTCAAGTTTTGCATTTTGACCTCAATTTTAAATTGAAGATTTAAGAAATAAAGTGAAAATTATTCATTTTATTAAGAAAGGATGCATTACATTTACCGATGAAGACAGCAGATAAATAAATGTGACAAAAGATTTCTATAGACCGGGTTTCTCATTAGCAGAAGTCGTCATATTGTAGTTAGGAAAAGTTAGGGTGCTTTTACACTTGGTTCATTTGCGTACCCCAGACCGGTTCACTGGTCACACTAGCTGAACATACCTACTATGACGTCAAACTTTAAAGGATTTAAGACGCTGATGACAGTTAAACTTATCATAACAGGCTTGTGAAATAAGTACACAAAATAAGTAGATAATGCTAAAAAAATGATACACTGATATTTTTTTTTTTTTTATTGAAATGAAAATTAATTTAAAAACAAATGTATAAAAATCAAATAACAATAATAAGTAAGCAAGCAAGTAAATGAGTTAACACTGTACATACTGGAAGTAATGACTTCTGGAAATTCACAGGGAATAAATTACATTTTAAATATAGATTCATACTCTACATAAAACAGTTACACTGTGCAATATTTCTACAACTAGGAATAATTGTTGATTTTGATCAATCTTATGCAGTCTTAAATTGTAACTTAAATTGTCATACAAGAAAACTTAACTTTTGAAAACTAGTGCACATCTAATAGAATACCTTGTTATTATTTCGGATTCACTCTTGTTATTCAGCAGACATCGTTTAATGCACTCTACACTCTCTTCATTTTGTTTGCGTTCCTGTCCTGTATTGTGTATTTGTCTCAGGTTCACTCCAGAAGCCAAGGCCAGGCGTCACCCGTTTGTGTATCTGCCGTTTGGAGCGGGGCCACGCAGCTGTGTGGGCATGAGACTGGCCCAGCTGGAGATTAAAGTGGCTCTGGTTCACATATTCAGGAGGTTTAACGTCCTGGCCTGCGAGGACACTGAGGTTTGTTATTGTTTGTCTGGAAAAGGGAAGATTGTGTTTTCCACAATCTGGAGTTTACAGTTACAGCGGAGATAAAAATGAGAGAGCAACTTTCAACATCCTAAATGTCATGGTCACTGTTTGGTCTGATCTGAAGTTCTCTAATGGGAGGTAAAACAGTATATTTCCAGAGGGACGTATATTCTGAAGCAAAGTAAATCTAAAATTTAATTGGATAAAAATTTAATTTGAAAAAAAAAAAACAACAACAACACTGATCCAAATTAGAGAACACTTTCAGATCCTTACGGTTTATGGTGCACTGTAAAAAATGCTGGGTTCCAAACAGTCAATTCGTGTTGGGACAACAAGTATGAATTAAGTTAACTTAGTCAAATTTAAGTTGATTGTACATTAAACAATAATGTTTTAAAAACTCAAAAATTGTGTTATTTTAGCTCGTTTTAAATAAGCAGATTGAACAAATGTCAATTATTTGAGTGCGTCAAAGTCTGTGTGAAATCAAAATTTACAATGTTTAATTTACATTGTTATTCTTTAGGTGAACAATTAATCCAAGTTAATCCAGAAAAAAAAAAATTCCGCACCAGACGCTCCTGTGCTTTCAGTATTCGTTCACTCGCTGCCCGCTTAGAATAATTTTCTACTCGTCCTGACTGTTCCTGCTCAATTTAGATCTGGTTTCCAAAATCTTACTGTAAGTTTACACTGGGTACTATCAAAAGAGAGAGATAACAGATAAAACTGTAAGTTGTGCAAGGATTATAGGCCATGTCAGTTATGTCAGTTTTGTTTGCCCCTTTGTGATGAGACATGAGTGCCGCCTTAAACCTGAGGTTCCAGTCTTCTGCTAAAAAGGATAAAACTTCGAGGTATTATCACATCGCTCACAAGGTAGTTATTTTTCTATTTGCGTCAATGATGCTTGAAAAAGACTTGCCGGATGTGGGTTCACTTTGCTCTCCCATTGGTAAATCTTGCTCTGAGGATCAATATGCAGATGATGCGTGCACAGACTGTTCAAATAAAAAGCATGTGCAGAAAGCACTGGTCATGCTTTCATCATGTGTAACAGTCTTGAGCTGTAGCAGTGCTCAATAAGAATGTGGAAATCACAGATATGCTGTTCCGAAATCAAGACTTGGGACCCGCCAGCTCCCGTTCAAATTACACCAGTTACTGACCACTACCACATTTTTTTCAGAATGCAGACCTCTACTTTCCAGTTTTACATTTTCCAGATCATTTTTCTGATTTCTGAAGCGATTTTTTTTAATACACACAAAAATTTCCATCAAGTTCTTAGAGTGTCTGATTGTAGTATTGGTAACCTAGCAATCAACGGTAAACAAAGCAAGCATAATGGGGACTGCTGTGGGTAAATGATTCGGGATTTGTACAGCTACACATCGATGGATTTACTCAGTGTTTGGACTCTTAGCAGTGGATATTAAACCAAACTGAACTGAACAGAACTTAAACTCTTAAAACTGAACTGACCCTGTTTCAATTTACTATAATCTTCCATGTGGAGCTGCTTTGACATGATCTACATTGTGAAAGCACTATAGAAATAAAGGTGAATTGAATTGAATAACGTTTGCTACGTCAGTTCCATCACTTTAAGTCCAAAATCCCCTCAAGTGAATGTACTTTTTTTTTTTTTTTGCAAACTAAGGGACTTTTCTTCAATACATGTTGTTTCCATTACTCCTAAAATATGAATTAACACGGGGTGATGTTAACCCAGTGACTGACTTTGATGGGAAGCCTTAATAAAGAGATTTTTCATTTGTCACACAGATTCCTCTGGAGTTAAAGTCTCACACCACCCTCGGGCCCAAAAACGGTGTTATGGTCAAAATCACAGAGAGGGAGAACTTGGAGGATGCGTCCTGATAAGAGTTGCAGTTCTTGGAATGTTCTTCTAAGTTTTTCAAATGATGTAAAACTGATCGCACTTATATTCTGGAATCATCTGACTAAATCTAATGTAAATCTGTGCTGCTCATTTGACTGAAATCTAATTCAGCATTAACTGTGAATTTGTTAAAGCATATGTATAACCTCAGATCAGCAACATACTGTATACATGACCCAGTTATTTTTGGAAAATTGAGATCTATTTGAAAATGTGGAAGGAATAAACTGAGGGATGAAAATCTCAATTTAAATATTAAGAAAATCACCTTCCAATATGACCAAATTAAGTTCTATTTACTATAGGAAAAACAACATTATTACAACATTAATACAACATGATGTTTTCTCAATATTCAAATGATATTTAGCTAAAGAGAATATTGTGACTCATACAAGGTCTTGCACACAAATAATCAGATGATTACCTTAAAATGTGACATATATATAAATACATTCTGTACAATCAAATGGAAGATGATCAGTTTTGATTGATACTGTATAATATTTCATAAGAAGTTCATTCTGTTTGCATAAATGATTTGCATCCTGCCTTAATGCCTGTGGGATTGATTTATTTATGCTTGGTTTATGTTGATTATACTATTGTTTGATGTACATTATTCTGGAGCCCCAGCGCTTTACTGAATTCATATTATTATTGAGTTTAGCAAGAACAATATGATTAATTACTTTACTTTGATAATATATTCCACTAATTTGAAATGACTAAATAACAGTTTGATATATTAATCATGTATTTATCTTTACTTACACCATTTAATTGTTTCATTTCCAACTTCTTAGGCTAGAATAAATGCTATGATTAATGAACAGAGCGTTGAGAAGTGTGCTTAAGAGAAGCACAACTGTTTGAGAGCGTCTTTTAAACAAAACCTTCTTGGCCTGAAAAGCTCAATTTTTGTAATTAATTAGTAATCACAAGACTAGTTTTCCGAGATTTCACTTCTCGGTTTCACCAGCAGGGGTCATACAGACGGACTGTGACGAACCTGCTGCTTGTCTGCGAACGATTTCCTGGTAAATGTCCTACTTCCCCTTTACTACATTACTTACAGTAGTTGGCGTTAGAGACTTTTGTTTGCATTGTAATTAAAAAAAACAAATTTGGTTTGGTAGATCTCAGAGATTCCAGCTGTATAAAATAAACATAAGAATAACAATTAATCTAAACAACAGCAGGTCCGTAGTTCGGGTGATCCCAAACACCCACTCCTGACTGACAAAGGTCCATAATTTGTCCCAAACATGAGCTCATTTGTCCTGTTTTGACAGCTATACCATTATAATAAATGAAAATAACCCATTGAAAAGGCTTAAAAGACTGAGAAAATCCTCTGTTGGCTGCCACTTTGGTGTGGCTTCAACTAATCAGTTTTGACCAATGCGATTTTTCATGAGTCCAACATCCAGCAGCTAGAAAACCCATAGTCTGACGAAAGTGAAGTCAAGTGAAGTCTTTCGGTACTGTATTGTTTTTGAATAGAGAAAACATTTAACAGGTAACTTTTATTTTAAATCTTTGACCTTAGTCTTAAGACAGAAAATGAGAAATAAAAAGGTGTGAAGCACCAAAAGTGGCCCATAATTTGACTGCTATTTTGACTATTGGTGTATGAGTTTTCAAATGAATTTTTTTTTCACAAGAGAGGCTAGAAAGCTCTACATTATTATTACTTTTTTATTATTATTTTATACAAATGGTCAAAATCTGACAGAGGAAAGATAAATGTGCTGGCCAGTTTTTTGCTTAAAATTTGCCTTAGAAATGACTAAAGGCTTGTTTTTAATTTAAAACGGATTGATATATTTTTATATTCTAATGATATATGATGATGTAATAAATTTGTATTTTACAAATAATTATTTTATCATATTTCTTTATTATAAATCTTCACTAAATATTTTTGGTACCTCAATAGGTTTGGTTATGATGACCATCTGATAAGCTAATTCAGTTAAAAATAGTACTTAAATATCATAATTAAATAGAAAATGAGGTGTATAATTGCAAAAAGGTCCAAATTGTGAGAAAAAAGAACCAACCACTTTCACCAGGCTGGCTACAGGCCTGATAAATATAGCAAACAGTGTATAATATTTAAAAGATATTGAACTAATACTTATAATGCTATTGTATAGTTCTGCTTAAACCTTTATCAATAATGTTGCATGTATTTCGAAATTTTAAGCTGCAATTTACTCTTGAAATGACAATTATGTTATCATTTCCTCACCCCACAAGTTTCAAACCTTTTTGACTTTCTTCTATTAAACACAAAATGACAATAAAGTTTTATAGAAAAATGCTGGAAACCTGCACCCATTGACTTGCATAGTATTTGTTTTTCTTACTATGGAAGTCAATGGTTACAGGTTTTAGCTTTTATCAGAATATCTTCTTTAGTGTTCAACAGAAGAAAGAAACTCATAAAGGTTTGGAATCACCTCAGGTTGTGTAAATAGTGGATGCATTTTTAGTTTTAGGTGAACGATCTCTTTAAATGCTTCATAGTTGTCAAAGTTATTTGTTTTTTCCCACTTTATTTTTTTATAGCCAGGCTGTAATTTGCATATCAGCTTGTTCCCAAGAATGCGATGGGAGGAAACTGTGAGCAAAAGTTCAAAGTCAAATACTGTCTGTGAGACTGTGAGTTAAAGGGATGGCAGTTAAAGGCGTAGATAACTCCAGAAGTGAGTGTCTTTCTGCACGATAAAGAGACCTATATAAATTCTAAAACCATACTCTTGGGCTAATCCACTTAAATACACTCTTTAACCTTGAGCTGGATGTGCATCACTGTTGCGCCGTTAACCCTTGTGCCAACAAGGGCATTCATGGTTCTAGGAACTTAGTTATAGGAACCATCTACCAGGCCAGTTCCAAATAAACTCATTTCACCTTGAACCTGGATGCATTCGCACTATCCACAGGAGTTTGTAAGTGACATAAATTGTCTGATAGCTACTATAACTCAAGCACAAACAACTGAAGGATTAAAAAGAGGACGCTGTGATTTTATTGTGTGTCTTGTATTTCTGTAGATGATGAAGAAATGCAACTGAAATAGCAAATCCCTAAGAAAGACAATAACCGTGTTGTAACAGTTTGAAATACTCGCCCAATCAGCACACATTTAAATCACTGTTGAACCTACTGTATATTCCTAGATTAGACTTTGCTCTAAAGTAGGAGCAAATTTCTGTAGTTCCCCCAAATGGCAATCTTAGAACTAAACTTGTAAGCAGTTCATGCAATGCAAACACACAGAAACTGTTCTGCCAATAATTTTTGGAACTCTGAAAAATGTCCTAATAGTGTACAGTGTGAAAGATGCTGTGTTAGTATGTTTAGGGCTTTTCACACTGCTTTTCACCATCCTGAGTTATTTTCGTTGTAAACATAACTTTTAACCCCCAGGTTTTGCACTTGTTATTTAAAAATAGAGATTAAACGCAGTGTTAACACTGATGTTCGATACCACAGATTTCCTTTCCGATGCCGAGTAATTCATGTCTTTATGCAAATACACATTATATGTCTAATAAATGTAAAAAAGTGTATTTCAAATCATAACCTCAAAACTGATTTACTTTTAAACTTGGAAGTATATTGAGGTAGCGGCCTCATTAACAATGTAGCTGAGCTAAGAAAACAACAGAAAAAAAGAAAATAGTTTAAAAAGAATAAACAAATCATTAAAGGGCAAAACATTTAAATTTGCATCTTGGCTATTCATGGAGTTGAAATAGCTTGAAACATGTGACTTCGTTTACACTCTCGCTCTGCTATTGTTAGGACTGCGTGTGTGTGTGTTTGACTGATGAGTTGCCACTGGCTGAAGAAAAAGAAGTTCCCACTAACCGCATATTGTTTAAACAAGATCTCAATAGTTTGGTTAACTTCCACTGTGTTACAGTTAATAATATTAATTTACACAAATTACTGATATATCAAAAGTCTTGATGTTTTTATTTGAAAACTGGTCTTAGAGCATATAAATCCAGTGTCGCAGGTATTGGGTATATGCACAGCTACTGTTTCTTCCCATACCAATAAACGTCCGGTGAACGGTTAATGTGACTTTTTAAAATTTTATACAGTTCCCTTTTACAGCATCGATGTTGTCATGTAACTAAAATACAAGCAGTTAAATAGACTTAAGCATTCAGTTAATTGTTCAAGTGTAAAACGAGATGAAAAGCTGTTTACAAGCACGCGCTGTCAGGATCAGCAGGTAACCGCAGAAACACCATTGAAAATACAGCAGTAAAAGAAATGTTCTTATTTTAAAGACATGATGTGGGAAAACAGAATTTAATTCAGTGTTCCTTTTACAATCTGAGACCCACTTTATATCGTATATCAATCAGGCAGTGGAGATCATTGATTTTTAAAGAAAACAGACCTTAAACGCGCCAATTTTGTAACTGCATACAGTTCACCTTAATCGCTTGACCCAAGTTACGGCACAATAAAAAAACCCTTCTGCATTTTCCTGCACATACCTTATGACAGTGTCAATACATCTATGCCAGACATGCAGTGGGAAATGCAATAGTATGTTTTACACTTGTTTTAGCATCTAGAGTAAATTGTGTACCTTAAAATTGTACAGTCATATTATTTGGACAGGTTAATTTGAGATGTACAGCTGTTTCAATTCATTTTGGAGTTGAAGAAAAACAGGAGCACTTTATTCTTACATTTATTATCCATCAGGAACATTCAGGAAACCAATATAATAGATGTAGGCAATATATAATATACAGATATGCAACACTAAAGTCTGCATGGAAACGGGTCCCATTCTTTATTCATCCGATAAGTGATAGCAACATGTGCAAAAGGCTGTTAACCCAGGATTTACAGTTATGATTTACTAAATAACTCTACTTATAGTGGTTATAATAACAAGAAAAGTGCTGTCCAGAACAGAATCAGTACTTAAATTCTATCCCTATCATTAAACATGAAATACGTCATAAACTAAATAGAACGGTTTTGAGTTTTGCGGAGTGAATATTCAATTGACTAAATCAATGTTTCTAAATCACATTACTGGATGTTTTGGATGCCTCTTTTGTCTGTCAAACTCATTACACTTCTTTTAGTCTTTGCTAATGAGCTGAATCAGGTGTGTTTGAATCTGAATCAGGTGTGTTTGAATCTGAATCAGGTGTGTTTGGTTAAGAATACATGGAAAATGTGCAGAGCTGGTGGTCTTGCAGCAACATGGATGAGAAACAATGGACTAAACCATTTAGTTTTCACGTTTTTATAATCTTGAGCAATCAAAAACTGTTAGTTGAAAGCTACTGGTTAAACTCTTTTTTTTTTCTCTCAGCACAAAAGTCAATAAGGAAAATAACATAATAAATCACAATAAAATTCAGATATTTCGTTTTTTTACCAGTTTGCCATTTCCATCACACATAGATGATTGAATAGAGACTGAAACTAATTAAATTTACTCATCTAACTATCTACTATGTAACATCCCATTAGTATTCACTAAAGAAGAAGCTTAAATGCCCTAAAGTTGAAGATTTTGGTTGTTCAGCGATATTAACCGTTTCAGAAGGATTTCGAGAAACAAGTAGATCTGCTTAGAATGTTTGAGTGCGTCAAATATATCCAAACATAATTTGACACGGCACATATCAGGAGTATTCAATGATGTACTCCGGATAGATCTGAAATTTCTCAAACACGACAAAAATGGCCGGGTTTGCCTCGTTGTCGACACAGCTGTCGTAAAATCTTTGGCTGTGTGGTTTTTGTGGTGGACGAACTAAACTATTGTTACCCCTAATGAAGTCTCCAACCAGCACAAGCGCCATGAACATCTTCTTGGTCTTTCCGTTCCTAGATCTGGCGTATCTGTCCGAGTATGAAGCATCTCTGGCAAAATAGCTTCCTGTTGAACGTGATGATTTGAATATTTGGTTAAACGTTCAGTAATGTCTCGTTATTGTAATTGTCATGGTAAAAAGCTGCTGTAGTAGAAGCAAATGTGTAAATACCTTTCCCATAAAGTGTCCCGTTACTTCCGCAAATCCTCCAGTCAAAGTTTTGATCACAAATGGCATCCATGTGAGATTCATCTGTACCATGAAACAGGTAGCGCTGGTCCACTACCTTTCCTCCACTCTTTAAGTTCATTTGCTCTTTTTGCCTAGGACAACAAACATGGTATATGATAAGTACAGAGTTTGTGCAGGTTTCACCAAGTTAAATTTAAGACTTTTTAAGACATTTTAAGACAATTATGAATGAAATTAGACCTATACAGGGCTAAATGCTAAGGATTTTTTCGCATATCCCACTAAGAAAAGATTTTCACTTGCCCCATAAAAAAATGATTAACATTTAATTAATTTTATAATACAATAATATTAATTTAGTTTGAGTATTTTTATATAAATTTTCAAATATATCCATTTAACCCAAAAAAATGGATCCAAAAATCCAAACCATATAACCCTTACCAAGAATAGAACAAAACATAGCTGTCAAACACTTCAGTCTACAATAACAATTCAATAATAAAAAATAAAGGTCAGGTCATCGTCCTCAGCAGTGAATAAATAGAGAACTTTTAAGCAAATGTTGCTGTAAGGACAGTAAATAAATGCTATTTTTAAATAAAAAGTTAAACATTTTATTGGGATGGATTGTTGGCGATTGTGTGGGTGTTAATGTCCAGACTGGGTAGCTATACTGTACATGAACAAAGGAAAATTAAGACCTGTTTAAGAACGATTTAAGACCTATAAAACACATTTCAGTAGATTTAAGACTTTTTAAGGCCTAAAATGTAGCTTTTGAGATTAAAGATATTTTAAGACTTTATTTATAATTATTTCTTTAGGGTTTTTTTTTTTTAATCGAGATAGGACAGTTGAGGTAGGGTAAGCAAAGGAACTCGGGTCGCCGTGAGCACCATGGTGCTATATGTCGGCGCACTTAACCACTAGGCTATTGTCACCGACATTTTAAGACTTTTTAAGACCCAGCGAATACCCTGAAGAATAATAAACTGTGTATCATATGAAAAGGATTATTTGTATTTGCTTGATTTAAATTAGGGCTGTCGATTTAACGTGATAATGGAACTAATTAGTTATGGTAGTTTAAATGTAATTAACACACACCACATGTGACAAATGCAGATAAATTATTTAACAATCACAGGGTAATGACAGGTAAACAGCCCTAAAACTTAAGATACTGACGTAAAAATATCCGATTATGAGGTTTGGGCTCATTTGTTTACAGTAAGATACAGTTATTTCATATGAGCAATGAGTTTAGTCTCACACCAGGGCTATTTTTGTCCTGAACATCACAAGTGCAAATATGATAATGATTTTTACCATTCAAGTAAACAATATGATTGTATTCTGTTCTATTTTAGACACAATATTGGCTGGTTTAGCACAGATCTGCCATGGGAAACATTATAAAAGTAGAGCAAAACTGACTCTGATCAGAATACAGATATTCTTTCAGTATTAATCAGTGTTTTGAACAAATTAGCATAATGAACTGTTTACTTAATTGCGGAGTTGTTTGAAAGAATCAAATGAATAGGGATTCAATGACTCATTTATTAAACATTGACAAATATCTACTGGCAGTTTTAGTTTCTTATTTACCCCTTTTCCAAAGTCAAATCTAAGCACTTCTCAAGCCCTTTCAAGGTGCACTTTCAGACTTTACTAGCACTTTATAAGTGTGGCAAACAACATTTTTACATACATATTTACATCCATATACAGTACATTTTTTCATCACATTATATCAGATGCTATCTGTTATAGTAGTATTAGGAACAATTTTGATGGCATGTTTGCCTCAAACCCAACACTGAATTACTTTAGTTTGCTCTCTTAAATGTCATCTTAAATTTATCTTTAATTTAATTTCTAAGGGCACAGATAAAATAAAAATAAAAACTACAGGCAGATTATGCAACATGCACATGCACAGACTCCAGAGTTATGCAAAAGTAAAGAGTTATGTTATTTTATTAAAATAGTTAATCATTATTAGCATTTAGTAAGCTAAATTATTTAAAAAGCATAACAATTATATTTTTCAAGCAGTTTCAAACAATCATTCAAAAATGTAGGCAACTAACCTTGAAACTGTGGATTTAAACTCAACCTTTTTCACGGATTTCCAGCACTTGTATAAACCCTGCATTTAGGTTATTATTTCATTAAACAAAACAATTGAAATGTTTTATATAAATAAAACAATGATAATAATAGTTGACTCAAAAATGATTTGTGTTGTTTTAACACAAAAATATTTCTAATATGTTTGATACATACAAGGTTACAGTTTTGTGCAGTAATAAATGGTCTGTAGGTATATTTAAATAGAAGTTAAGGTGCAAACAATTGGCCATTGTAATGTGTAACAAATTCTGGAATTGAAATACTACACACACACACACACACACACACACACACACACACACACACACACACACACACACACACACACACACACACACACACACACACACACACACACACACACACACACACACACACACACACACACACACACACATATATATATATATTCATTTATTCATTTTCTTTTCGGCTTAGTCTCTTTATTAATCCGGGGTCACCACAGCGAAATGAACCGCCAACTTTTCCAGCATATGTTTTACGCAGCGGATGCCCTTCCAGCTGCAGCCCATCTCTGGGAAACATCCATACACACTTATACACTATGGACAATTTAGCCTACCCAATTCACCTATACCGCATGTCTTTGGACTGTGGGGGAAACCGGAGCACCCGGAGGAAACCCACACGAACGCAGGGAGAACATAAAATCTCCACACAGAAACGCCAACTGACCCAGCCGAGGCTCGAACCAGTGACCTTCTTGCTGTAAGTCGACAGCACTACCTACTGTATATATATATATATATATATATATATATATATATATATATATATATATATATATATATATATATATATATATATAAATAAATAATACTACACACACATAGACACTATTGTTGTTGTTTTTCTAGTGAAATATAGAAAGAAACGTACCACTCAAAGACTTTCCAGAGTGAAGGATTCTGCACTCTGTCAATGCGGTGAATGATGCTTCCAGGCAGAGTTCTATTAAACATTGAGCTCACTCTCTCATACTCCTTGCAAGTTTTTTGCAGTGAAACAATCTGAGGAGATATTAAATTTGATTAGTGAAATGTCATCAGTATTTTAAAGAATAAAAGGTAGTTGTAATTTACTCAAACAGATAACTTTCAATAATAATAAATATAGAAAAACTGGTGCTTTTCAGCAATTGTAAAACACAGCAGTTCGTAAGCTGGGTTAGATAAAATAATATACAAGTAGTAGCATTAGATGTAGGGCTGCAGAGTATATCAAAAATTATTGTTATCGCAATAATAGTATATTCAATATCTATAAATTCAGTGCACTAAATTAAGCTAATCTTATGTGCCAAGCAGTTGTGTGCTGCATGCATAGGTTGTTTATCAACATCTGACCAATCAGATGGGGCCTTTACTATCTTCATCCCCATATCTTCAGTAGGTTCTGTTAGGTGGACCTAGAGCTAAAAAAAAATAAGCACTGATGCAAGGAGACAAAGTCATTTCAATCATTTGTGCTGTTTCAAAGTCTTTTTTTTTATTTAGCTCAGAAAAATATCTATTACCGTTTATTTTAGTATGATAATTACATTAAAAAATTGACAGTATCTTATTCCTCAATGCAGAAGTGGACTCATTTTTGTGATTGTTTTAGAACTTCTGATTTAGTTGCCTATGGGAGAAATGACCAATAATAACCCCAGAAAACGGTCAAACTACTTGCTATAGAAACAAGTGTTTGCATGATTATACAGACAAAGCAGAATAATATAAAAAAGAAAATATAAGTTTGCAACATCAAGCAGCAGAATGAGCTGTATTTTACATGTAAAATTGAATGAAAGTAAATTAGAGCGCAAGTCTCGAGCCAAAAAGATTCAAACGGCTATGCCTGCTCGTACGCGAAAAAGAAGGTGAATTTAGCTGCTTTAATTAGAAGTACTAATCTATAACCCAAAGTACAATGATTCCACAGCTACTTGACCAGCCCGCATGACTATGTACCTTGTAGGTGCCGGTATCAGGAGCTCCTTTGTCCCAGTAAGAAGGAACATCTGCAGAAGAAGATGCTGAGCTTTCTGTAGAATCACCTCTAATTAAAACACCACACATTAAAGTGAACAGCAGGTCAAATGTGTGTGCATGTAATGGACAAATGGCACAGGATATCTTACCCCTTGATTTTACTCTTGACGTCTTGAGCAGATACAAAACGAGGTCTCCTTCGAACATCTCTCTCAGTTTTGTACTTCAGATTTTGTTGGCACATCTCTGAAAATGAATGTCAAACTTTACTCTCTATAAAAAGATCATTTCACTGTTGGATCATTTCGCTTGCATGATTAGTTTAGTCTTATTTATATTGTATACTAACCCAATCTTATAGGAAATCACAATTTTTTTTTTTTTTTTTACATTGACAATTTTATGGCTAATTTAATTTTTCACTCTAAAATGCTAGATAAATAAATAAATAAATAAATAAATAGTCCCACCCCTTAACATAATATATGACAATTAATTTAATTACTGGGAATCATTCATTCATTCATTTTCTTTTTCGGCTTAGTCCATTTATTAAACCGGGGTCGCCACAGCGGAAAGAACCGCTGACTTATCCAGTATACAGTATGTTTTACGCAGTAGATGCCCTTCAACTGTGAGGAAAACTGGAGCACCTGGAGGAAACCCATGTGAACACATGCTCATGTGAGAACATGCAAACTCCACACAGAAACAGCATCTGACCCAGCCGAGGCTCGAACCAGCGACCTTCTAGTTGTGAGGCGAACGTGCTACCTACTGTGCCACCGTGCAGCCTTTTTAATTAATAGATCTATAACAGTGTTCATTAATATATTTAATAAGCTTTTAATTGAGTAAATATTTTTATCTAAACAACATTTTGAACATTTAGTAAAAATTTTTAGCAAATATCTACGTTTCATTTTAGCTTAATGCTACTAACGTTTTCAAATACCTTTAAATTTGAGCACATACTGATGGTTCTGGGATGTGAATGAGATTTCCTTTTCACTGTCCGCCAGGTAGAGTTTCTCTAGGTCTTCTGAAGTGACCGACGCCACGAGTTTTGCATCCTCCTAGAAGATTCAAACTACTGTTGTGAAATGAACTGATTATTTGTATGGCATACTGACACACATCTGCTGACACACACATCATTTAAAGGTTCAGGACACCCAGGAGAACTTTTTTTGAAATTTTAGATTTTCAGATTTGTGTGTGTTGAGCATCAGTTAAAACAACGTTAGCACTTTTCAGCCTTACTTGTGGGGAAAACTGGATAATTTGAGCTTTTGTCAGAGAATTTCATCTTCCGGGTTTAAAATAATTTTTGGGGCGAGATTAAAATTGGTGACGTAGCGCAAACCTTCTAGTGGAGTGATGACGTGTGGGTTTCTCATTATAATTCATAGCGGAGTTTGCTTATCCTATGAGAAGACCCTGCTTCTTAATTATTCATGAGAGCTCATGCTTTCCGAAGGCAAAGCAGACCAGCCAAGCTCTGAGACCCAGTGACTGGGTGGACCGCGTCCGCACGGCACGGGTTGTTTGTGTTTGTTTCCTTGATTCACGGGGTTTGTTGCATGTTTTTAACCCGAGATGCTGTCCGTGCCGATACAGCAAAGCTGTTGGTTTGCAGCAAGCATTTTTGTCGGGAGAGCTATACGAGAATTGGAGAATGGCGGACTTTGTGTTTTATCAGTGGAGTTCGTTATTAAGACACATCGCCTAAATCCGTGCTGCTGTGTTTGCCATATGTTTAAAATCCTCAGAGTTACTAGTAGGGTTAATGGTTGAAAAAGACAGGTCAAGAGACTTGCTGCACTGCTATCCACTGTGTCTGCATTCAGACCCGTGGATTGAGGAGGAGAGAAATCCTCTTAATTTATAGTCTTTATATAAACACAATTATCTTTATAATGATAGAATCAATTGTGGTTATGTGTTTATGAAATGAAGACTAACATATGTAGCAGGACATTAAATTACTTACTGTTTCAAGAGTTCACACTTGGCTGATGATTGATTTTAAAGCTTGTTTAGCATGCTGTCCCAGAAGAGAGCCCTGAGCTCATAAGATCCTCGAGCCCGGGGCTCCCTCCTATTTGCAAGGCAAGAGGGGAGTTTGAGCTCAGGTAGATCTCGAGAACTCCCCTGCTGTAGTAGCTAATGAACAGATAGTGATTGCTCTTAAGAGATAACTACTTACTAGGAGCATGTATATGGGGCTGATTTAGATTAGTCAATTAACTTAAGTTGCATGTTTTTGGAAAGTGGGAGAGAACCAGGGAACCCGGGGGAAACCCACATGAGCACAGAGAGAAAGTGTAAACTTCGCACAGAAGCGTCGGCTGGCTTGGTGAGGACTAGAACCAGTGACGTTCTAGCTGTGAGGCAACAGTGCTAACAACTGGGCTACCATGCCACCCATAAAGGAAAGAAGGAAGAGTAGTGGTGAAAGGGGGAACTCTTCAAAACGAAGATGGCTGTTCTATGGAACTATTTATAGTGGCTTAGGAATCGTCTGATTGGTGAATCATAAATTGAATAATGCGGGACCGGCTGCAAGCAATCATAAGCATGTGATGCTCTCGAAATTAGTTTATAAATATTTATTACTTATTTTTCTGCATTTTAACTATGTGAACTATAAAATCATGGGTCTCATCATGGTTTGTGTCTCATTTTTTGTGTCAACTGACAGTTGTTCGCTTCCCTCTTTTTCCCCTGGTCTGCTGGCCATGCCCACTCCTCCCTTTGCTCGCAGTGCTCCAAGCCTATTACAAAGCATCTTTTAAAAAAATTCTAAGGTAGACTTGAACCGAAATAGGGGGGTTTCATGGCCCTTTAAATAAACATTGCAGATGATTCTTTAAGTTTTGACAGAAACGTGACAGAAATATTCTCCTATTTAAAACCTGATTATTCTGTAGTTACATTGTGTGCAACAAAAATGAATATAGCCTTTTTGTAAGCCGATATGTCTAGGAAATATACTCTCATTCCGGCATAATAATCAAGGAGTTTTGCTTTCATACCACAATGATTTTACGCAGCACTGCTACTTAGTTACTTACAGTAGCTAAGGGCTATATTCAGGCACTGTGTAATACTATAGCGCCTGCTGCGGCTACATTATGGCTGCAAAGTTCCTTGATTATGAAATGAGAGTATGGTTCCTACCCTTACTGACCTAGAAAATACAACTTTTTATTTTTCGTCCGTCTTAGAATTTGATGCAACAGCAAATGAGTCAAGCTTTAAATATGAAAATGATCAAACGTTGAAATGTTTGAGCAAAATGCGGTCTAATATGACTCAACTATCTATGCTAAGCTAAGCTAAAAGTTCTCCTGCCAGACCTGGAGATTGAATGAATAGATTCAGAAATGGTAAAAACAATTAATTAACTCTAGGTGATTTGTAAAATGAGCCTATTTTTATTTAAAAAAAGGGAGAGTGTTCCTTTAAAATGCATCACTGACCCCTTTGCCGTACTCCGTCCAGCCACCCTTGTCGTTCCTCCAGAACCAGATCCATTCAGTGGTGAGAATGAAGTGTGGTGGTTTAGTAACAGAAGATGCTGTGGACAGACGACGGACATCTGATACTCCACATGTCATTGACATGAAGTCCACTACCATGTGCCCTGTGCTGCTATCAGTAATACTGCATTATGAGGAAAGCAAAAGATGGGAAAATAGTGCAAACAATTTACTTCACATACAGACACTGTGCTTGCTTGGTAATGCAAGTGCATACTAAGCTTGCTTGACAATTTATGCATACTGTAAATCTGACAACCATTGTAAAACAATGTATACTCACAGGTTCTATCAATAACCATATTGTTTATATGTGACCCTGGACCACAAAACCAGTCATCAACATTTTTGGAAATGAAAAATTATTTAATAAACTGGATAAATAAGTTTTCGATTGATGTATGGTATGTTAGAATAGGGCAATATAGGTACAACTATTTGACAATCTGAAATCTGAGGGTACAAAAATTGCCTTTAATGCTGTACAGATTAAGTTCTTAATTTCATATTAAGAAATGTATTGATTTGATGTATTATAAATTTCTGATGATCGCATTACTTTCAGTTGTATGCTTATTTGGATGACTTCATTATTATTCTTTTTTTTATGTTGTTTTATTTTATGTCATTACCTTATTATCATCCTATATGCAGTTGAACTCAGAATTATTAAACCCCCTGATTTCTGTTTAACGGACAGAAGATTTATTTTAACACATTTCTAAACATAATACCTTTACAAACTCATTTCTATTAACTATTTTATTTTATCTTTGCCATGATGACAGTAAATAATATTTGACTAGATGTTTTTAAGACACTTCTATACAGCTTAAAGTGACATTTAAAGGCTTAACTAGGTAATTAGGCAAGTTATTGTATAACAATAATTTGTTCTGTAGACTATCGAAAAAATATAGCTTAAAGAGGCTAATAATTTTAACCTTAAAAATGTTTTTTTTTATTAAAAACTGCTTTTATTCTAGCCAAAATAAAACAAATAAGACTTTCTCCAGAGGAAAAAATATTATCAGACATACTGTCAAAACTTCCTTGCTCTGCAATTACATCATTTGGGAAATACTTTAAAGGGGGCTAATAAGTCTGATTTCAACTTTATGTTGTATTATTTTTAGCATCCTTTGTATGTTTGACCTTTATACTTTTATGAAGAGGCCATGTTCAAGCAGACTGTAGTCTGATAAGAAATGCAGAGATACTATGCAAACACAGTCAAAATTTAAAGATTTTTTATTTCTGCTTAATTGCCACATGAAATTACTCAATTGGCCATGGGTATAGAGCCTCTGGAAGAACGAAGATCCTAGTAGTGAAGAAACTAATGGAGGTGTGCTAATGTTTAAATTTGGGTGGAGTGTTAAGAAAAATAAGTGTATTTAAACTGTGTACTGGCCTACACTCATCAGACCTTCGGCCGATGGGCTCTATGCACACAGCTAGAGCTTTAAAGCCAACACTAAACTTCCAGTGAAAGCGCAATGTGACTATTTTCAATTTCACAAGGTTGTTTAAACAGCATTGATGTTGTAACTTGATTACAATACATTCATTTAGTTGTTCAAGCGTAAAACGAGATGAAAGACCATTGTAACTGCTAGCGCCGTCAGTAGCAACAGGCTAGCATAGAAATTCCATTGGAAATACTGGAGTAAAATTAATTTCCATAATTCAAAGACATGGTGCGGAAAGGTTGAATTTTATGCAGTGCTTCTTGTTTGGTCTGAGACCCACTTCATATCGTATATTGTTGGAGGGAAGCTAAAAAAAACATATATTAATCATGGACAAATAGATTGGTTGTGTTCATTAGGAATAAGGTTTTGACTAACAACCAATTAACCAATCCTTTTCTTTTTGTGTGATACGTTATATTAACTGAAGTTCTTCTTATATTATGAGGTTATTTACTGGAACATTTTGTTCAAGTTCTGCTAACAGGGGAAGAACGGCTACAGGATATTGCAAGAAGGGGGCCTTGTTTCAGACTTCCTCTCTACCAAAAAAGATGTGTAGGGTCACAAGAAGAGGATGGTTGTCACGAGTTGTGAAATATGTTAAAGGTGCACTTAACTATTTAAGTTTTCTTTGCAGAAAGAGAATGGTGAATGAGGAAATACCAAATATGCAGAGAAGCAGACCGGAACTCATCCCCTTTTACTCCTTCTGTCTATAAAACTGGGTTTCTAGATACCGGGCGTTGCAGAAGCACCTGATATAAGTTCCGGTTAGCATTGTATAATGGCTAGACTATATCTGTGTATGCCCAGAGCTCTGGACATCGAATTATTCATTTGTATTCAATAAATTACTAATTTTTAACGATTACTTCTGAATTTGAATTGAACACGCATGAAATAGAGGAAAAAGATTCCAACAATATCTAACAGGCAGTGAAGATTGCTTACTTTTAAAAAAAATCTGATCTTAAACATGCCAATTTTGTAATGGAAAGAACGTTTATCGGAAGCCCTTGGGCTATATATACTGTAGCCTATTGTCTCTATTGTTATTGTTTGCTGTGACAATAAATGCTTTTGGCTAGCAACTTTGAAGACTTCAGTTCGTTATTTTTTGAAGACTTAGAAAAGATTTTTTGCATTTTAGAACAATTTTCCACAACAATCACTAATCAAACATGAATTTGTTATATATTTAAGAAAAAGTATAAATGTCTTCACAGAACATGAGCTTTACCTAACATTTGAGTGATTTTGGGCATAAAAGTAAAATAAAAACATTTGACAGATTTAAAGTTTTTTTTCCTATTGCCAAAAACATATGTGTGCAACATAAGACTGCTTTTGTGGACCAGGGTCATATACTGTATATCATAATCACTGAGAATGCATCTTTATACCACAAAACATTAGCAGGACTGCAATACGCCTTCTCAATCTCCTCTTCATTTGGCAAGTCACTCCATGTCGTTCCATCTTTCTGTAAGATCTGCCATTTGTAAGGTAGATTGTGGTGAATACGGGCACACTTGTCTAAAGGAACACAAATGATGGGATGTCAAACAATCAAATGTTTCTTGCCTAAAGTGGGGCATAATAATGACATATTTAAATACACATCAATAATGTGCCTCTCTTCTGTTTTGTGTGGTTAAAAAAGTAGATATGGCAACAGCTGAAGATGAACAAACAAAAAACATCGACTGACAGTGATTTGATTGCACTGGGATGAAACACTGCAGTTTTAATAGGTTTCAGCCGGAAATGTTTGTATTGTGTGTTAAATAGATTTTGGAAAGTGAGGGAGAAATAATATTATGATTTTAATAAAAATTCATTATTTCGCAAAAAAACTGATACCGTTTAATTGACACAGCTAAAACGCTTACAAAAACTCAAATTAAATAAATCAAAACACACACATACATATATATATACTCACCGGCCACTTTATTACTCTATCACCGAGCTGGTCTGAGTATTTCAGAAACTGCTATTGGGGTTTTCATGCACAACCATCTTTAGGGTTTACAGAAAATGGTCCGAAAAAGAGAAAATATCAGTGAGTGGCAGTTCTGTTGGCGCAAATACCTTGTTGATGCCAGAAATCAGAGGAGAATGAACAGACTGGTTTGAGCTGATAGAAAGGAAAAAGTGACTTAAATAACCACTTGTTACAACCAAGGTATGGAGAAGAGCATCTCTGAATGCACAACATGTCCAACCTTGAGGCAGATAGGCTACAGCAGCAGAAGACCACACCGGGTGCCACTTTTGTCTGCTAAGAACAGGAAACTGAGGCTACGATTCGCACAGGCTCACCAAAATTGGACAATATTGGATTGAACAATCTTGATTTCTGCTGCGACATTCGATGGTAAGGTGAGAATTTGGCATCAACAACATGAAAGAATGGATCACCTGCCTAAAGCGTTGATACAAGGCAGGATGGGTGTTGGTGTAATGGTGTAGAAAATATTTTCTTGGCACACTTTGAGCCCATTAGTACCAATTGCGCATTGTGTCAACGCCACAGCCTATACCCAAGTACTGACCATGTTCATCCCTTTATGACCACAGTGTACCCATCTTCTGATGGCTACTTCCAGCAGGATAACGCACCATGTCATAAAGCACGAATCATCTCAGACTGGTTTCTTAAACATGACAATGAGTTCACTGTACTCAAATGGCCTCCACAGTCACCAGTTTTCAATCCAATAGAGCACATTAGAGATGTGGTGAAACGGAAGATTCACATCATGAATGTGCAGCCGACAAATCTGCAGCAACTGCACGATTCTATCATGTCAAAATGGAGCAAAATCTCTGAGGAATGTTTCCAGTACCTTGTTGAATCTATGCCACAAAGGATTAAGGGAGTTCTAAAGGCAAAAAGGGGTCCAACTTGGTACTAGTAAGGTGTACCTAATAAAGTGGCCGGTGAGTGTATATGGTTTACAAAACCACTAAGACTTTAGGTTAGGTAGATGTAAGTTGTAGTAATTTACAAATATAAACAAGATCAAAATGCTTAGAAAAAGTGGATATGGCAACAGCTGGGGTCCGTTCTTCGTTAGTGGATTACTCAGTTAGCTGGATTTAGATGTTGACGATTTGACACGATCCAGGATCGTTTCGTTCTTCAAAGCTGATCCGAGAGTTGTTGTCATGGCAACAGTTCTGCTAGGTCAAACCTGATCGGGAGCAGGTTCAATTCATATAAACAGGATTAGATCGGCTCAGTTCAAGCAAAGAGAATACAGAAAGTTTGTTCAGAATTCTGATATTTTCTTACAGTAGTAGTTATATACACTTGGTACATATTTTTTAACTATATATATAAAGTTATAGTCATTAATAAAATAAATAAAGTTATACATATTAATAAAACTTATGCAATCTGCACCCTCGAAATGAAAGTACAAAGACTGCCATCTGGTGCAAAGAGAAAACTTATTGATATGAACTTTTTAGATCGCTTTAGTACAAATTGTGTATAATAGAAATACACAATATGTGACTTTTTTTAAAGCAATAATACATTTATGCAGTCATAAACATATTTTGATAGTTAATATGCCAGTGATTTGATGCTTCACAAAAGTTGCAGACACCTTTACCAATATGAAAATGCTTTTGTAAACAACCAGTTATTCTTTACACCGATTAAAAAACGGCTACTATAATAAAGAAAATCTTTTCTAAATGTAGAACTAAATACATTGATTTGCATTGAAATACATGATGAATACTCTTGTCTTGACAAATGAAAGAGTAAAGCCTGCAGCTCACAACAAATGTGTAAAGTTCTTGCGTGTCATATTTAACAAACCGTTTACTGCTAATTTGATGTAATTTTGCTCACATGGATAATTGAATATTAATCAGATGATGTCATTACGCTGCTGTGCCGTCAGCCAATCGTTGCATTGCTGATCATGATTTCGAGGATCGATAGATCTGTCCTTCATAACACACGCAGCGATCTTAGATCAGTTCATCCAGACATTCTAATCTGATTTGCGAACTTGTTTGAAGAACCAAATTAGCGAGAGATCAGTTATCAAGATTAAAAGATCCAGGATCTGCCAAATAATCTTAGATCATTTCAGCGAGGTACGAAGAACGGACCCCTGAATAGCACAATGACCATAAACAAAACACAACAGCTTTACTGACAGTGATTTAGTTAAAAGTGCTAAACACAAGTTTTGACTGCGGTTCATTTTGTATGTTAGTAACAATGGACACCACACACAAAGCCAGAGTATTGCTATGGTGTCAATTCTCCAAATTTAAGGAAGAAACTCATTTAGAAGATTTACTTACATATTGAAATAGGATAATCACCCCTTTAATTTTACAATGTATATGTGGCATTTGGTTGCCTTTTTTGTTATGTTCAACCTTTCAAACCTATTAAAGATGCAGCAGTTCCTTCAAGAGTTCACACTTAGCTGATGCTTTATTATAAGCTTGTTTGGCATGCTGTCCCGGGAGAGAGCCCTGAGCTAAAAAGATACTCGAACCCTGGGCTCCCTCCCGTTTGCAGGGCGAGAGAAGAGATTGAGCTCAGGTAGATCTCGAGAACTCACACACTTATTTGTGGCTAATGACGAATTGCTTTACGAGGGAAAAATACTGTTGGCTAGGAACTTGAATATGGTGAAAATTTGGTTTAGTCTTTGGACTATAGTATTTATAATGACTTAGGAATCGTCTGATTGGAGAATCATGTATAAGCTTATGCGGGTCCACCCGTGGTCAATCATAAGCATGTGATCCTCTCGCAATTAGTTTATAAATAAACTTCACTTAATGCAGTGTTTAAAAACGAACAACTGTATATTTATTTGTGCATTAACTTAAAGCATCGAAGCGATAATGATAATGTTTTGTGTGGTTTACAGGCTGGCAAAACCATGCACAACATATGCTAATTTCATTGAATATAATGGTGTATTTTTTATGCTTTTAACTTTGATGCTGTGTGAATAATGTAGAATGTTATTTGCGACTGAAAATGTGCACATAGATGATTACTATTCATTTACATCACCTTTAAAACTGCATCCAGTGCGTATGAAAAAGAGGCAGATTTCATTGTGGTCCGCTTCACTGACAGAGTTACCGGACTTGTGTCTGGTGCGTCCTTTTGCTGCAGGTACAGACACTGTCCAGATAGAAAACACAATAGAATGATGAGACATAGAGGAAAATAATTAACAAATAGAGCTGTTATTTTGATCAGTGCATAATAATGTGTGCAATAAGCCAACCGAATAAGTGGCATTATTTCATTCACCTGTCTCTTTCTTCTTGAAAGCTGCAGAAGCAATCAATAACCTGTTCTTGTAAAGCTTGAGGAGTCTGCGCATGTTTTCCGCACTGAGCCCACGGGCACTAAGGATTTTCAGAGCACTCGCATCGAATTTGTGGGCTCTTTTGCAAGTCGCTCCGAACTTACAGTCTTCCTGCAGGAAGTGCTGGCAGAGGTGCAGGTTGGTACAGGACGTCTTGTATTTACAACTGCCAAAATCACCGTTCCCCTTGTTGTAGTGAAAGCACACCTATACACATAAACAGATTAGTCACATATTATTATGTAAACAATGTAGATGTTTTTTTTTTACTTCATGAATTTGCATAAATTGAAAGAGTATAATCAAACACACATAAAGATGTGTTCAGACCCCCCTAATTAACACTTGATCCTCCCCTGAAGGACATCAAAACAAGATGTATGGGGCGTCTGCCATTTAATAGTTAAGAAATAGCTTGCTCTGATCTGCATCTTAAATAATATAAAAAAAATAAAATAATAGATAACTTAAATATACATCTGAACACCCCTGTAATGGTCCGTACCATTGTAAATGCATGTTTTTTTTCAGCCTCGCCTTCTCTCTAAAGTCCACAACTCTCAAAAAAGCCATCCATGCTTTTGTTAGTTTACATTTGGACCAATGTAATGCACTTTATGTTGGAGTTAACCAGTCATGTCTTTATCGTTTGCAGCTTGTGCAAAATGCTGCTGCTCGCATGTTAACTAACAATTGGAAAAGTGAACACTTTACACCAATTCTCCGCTATCTCCACTGGCTCCCTGTTAAGTTTAGAATTGATTTTGATGTTTGTTTTTAATGCTGTCAATAGCCTTGCTCCTGCTTATTTGTGCCAAATTTTGCACAATCACAAATCCAGCAGAGCTTTACGATCTGTTGACCAACTTCTGCTTGAAGTCCCTCAGACAAGATACAAGCAGTAGGGTGATCACTCTTTTGCAGTGGCAGGACCTAAACTTTGGAACACCCTTCTTACTGAGCTTTGTACAATCACTCACCTGCCACTTTTTAACTAGAACTGCCGGAAGTCGCTGTATACCTAAAATCGCCAGTGCGGGTAAAATTTAGCCATCACAAATTTTGTTTAGAAAATGATTATTTCAGGATAACAAGATTATTTTAGGAGTAGGTTATGAGTAGGTTAAAATGTCTAAATATAAGCCATCATACTCTGATGCATAACTTATTTCTCCATATTCTCCATCATTCATTGCATTTGTGTTTTTAATAGCTCTACAAATAGTCTTCTTTTAGTCATTGTGACTTTTTTCATTTATTATAACCACTAATTCGGTGAATGAAATTGAAAGTAAAAGTCATTGGTGAGTAATTTCGAACATAAGCAGTGCATAAATACAAGCATTTTTTATCTAAAAAAATCTATTTTTATCTAAACTACTTTTAATATCTGGGAATTGTAAATAATGCAATTTTAGTAAACTTCAATGACTGGGAGGCTTGAATGTTTTATTGAAGGTCTGTTATGTACATCTGAATAACAGTGATGGGTAAAATTGACCCCATGGCAGGTCAAGTGTTAAAGCCAAGCTTAAGACCCACTTTTTAAAGTGCCTTTTAATGCATAGCACTGACACTTTGTTATGTTTTAATGTTTGTTGTATTTCATTACCATTTCTTATATTGTTTTGCATTGTCTGCTTTTTTGTTGTGTTGTATAACTTGCTTTTACTTGTGTAAAGCACTTTGGTCAACCTTGGTTGTAGTAAAGTGCTTTATAAATAAAAGTTAATTGATTGATGTGATTTATGTGGGTTTCCTCTGGGTGATTCGGTTTCCCCCACAAGTCCAAAGACATGTGGTATAGGTGAATTGGGTAAGCTAAATTGTGTAAGTAGTGTATGTGTTTCAATGAGTGTTTATGGATGTTTCCCAGTGATGGATTGCAGCTGGAAGGGCAGCCGCTGCTAAATCATATGCTGGATAAGTTGGCAGTTCATTCCGCTGTGGCAACCCCAGACTAAGCCGAAAAGAAAATTAATTAATTAAATCTATATATTTGGTTCACTTAGGCAGATTACAGAACATAAACAAAAAAAATTGACCCCCCCCCCAAACATCAATGTATAATCCGCAATCTGCGTTTAGGTGAAATATTAATGTTTATACATTAAAAGTAATTTTCAAAATGTTGTTCACAGTCTGCTGTGACTTTAGCAAACCTGTTTTATAGATATTGACCTCTGGAAGTAAAGAAGGGTCATTTTGAAGCAGAAGCTGAAACAGTTCTTCACTTGTAAGCTCAAGGAGATCGTTTTTCTTCAGCAGGTCAGAATTATGTGCGGATTTCAAGTCATGGGAATTCTTGCATTTTCCCCTAAAAAAATGACAAATATGGAGAATTACAATTAATTACTGTGTATGAGAGAATCTACCATAAACATCATATAAAAATGAATCTGTGCCAAAGATGACAAGCAAAAAGTAACACTATCATAATTCATTATATAGAAGACACCCACTAAAATGTAATTCTGGGTAATAATATTTTAGATACACAAATAATCTTGTCTGGCATTTTAAAAAGTGTTTTTAATGTATGTATAAATCATGTTAACTGCAAGATAAGTGTATATTTCAATGTTTAAACTTTGCATTTAAACTAAAGGTTAAAAGGAAACACTTTATTTTGATGGTCCATTTGAGTAACGTTATAAGTAGACTGTCTGCTTAATATGTTGATACTGCTCCTTCAACGGACATTTAACTGACTATAAGAAACTTTGCAAGTACATGTCAACTTACATTAACCCCAATTTAACAGTCTACTTATAATCTAATGAGAATTAGTTGGCATGTAGATGTAACTTAAATTCAGACCACCAAAATAAAGTGTGACCAGTTAAAACATATGAGGTAAATAATGTTAGATTGTCTTCCACTCTGTTCACTAAATAAATGTGCCATCAAATAATCTTTGCTCTAAATATTACTGGCGTTATGTTAGATAAAAATCTATTTTAAAACGAATCGTCCGAATCTTCATGTAAATCAGGTAAAACAAGGTTAAATGTAGGCTAGCCATAATTTTTGCAACTGTAACGGAAAAATGTAAAGCTGTTATTATTTTGGGTCTTAAAAATACCTCTTTTAACTCAATTAGTAGACTAGTTAACTGCTAACTTATACTAGTATCGGAAATCTACTAACAGTCGGTCCTGGATTGATTGCCACCAGATAAACAAGGCCTACCACAAACCTTACCACAAGCGACGAAAAGAACTTACAATATATCTACTTCAATTTTAATGACAATTTCCCAAATTACTTTGAATAACAAATTTTAAAACGTACTTACTCGAATCTGCAGCTCCCGCACACAAAGTACCTGCACAGGTGTAAATCTTCACACCCGGAGCATTTGTCGTGTTTACACACTCGCAGTGAGGTTTTGGCCAGGATGAGGCTGTCGGCAGCTGGTATGGAGCTTCTGGGATTCGGGTTTTCATCATTATGAACTATAACAAATTTCTGACTATCATCGAGCACCATAGACAAAACCTGATCCGCCACCGTGAAACTCTTCCGCAGATTAATCTCCACTTTACCATAGTCCGAACTGCCTTCTTGTTTGCAAACGAAGTTATATATGTGTCTAGAAACGATATTCATTTTCGTCGATGCCGTCAACGACAGTAAGTAGATTTCACTGTTTCTTGGGTTTGGTCGATGGTTTGAGTCATTTGAAAGGAAACGAAAGCGAAACCGATGCTAGTCTTTGGCGCCCTCTCCTGACAGACGGATAGTTTATTTATTTAGCCGACTCACTGTTAGAGAGCACTTGTTGACTCTTTTTAATTGCAACACCATACAATTGCAATGAAACTACTGAAGAATAAGTATAATACAACAATGCAAATATTAGGCTACTCTTTGCACAAAAAGAGAATGACAAATTTTAAGAAGTATTACAATGGTAAGACAAAGAGAAAGTGAGAAAGAAAAAATATAATAAAAAGGTAAAATAAAAATATATAAAAATAAAAAAGGAGATAGAGGGCAAATGAAAAATAGCACAAATTAATGCAGATTATTAAATAAAGCACATGTTTCAGAAGTTTTAATTTCTTTCTTGTTATGAGACTCTGAAATGGTATTCAAGTAGCCTACAGATTCAATTCTTGCTTTAAAATACAACATTTTGTTTATATTTAGTATATTTACACTTACGTATAAAACCCTTTCCATTAAATAATATTACGTTAATACAAATACTTGAATTAATTGTAAAATGTAAAACCCCAAAATACTATGTCAAAGAAAAATCACCACAAACCTTTTGGACAATTAGTATTCATTCATTCGTTTTCTTTTTCAGTTTTGTCCCTTTATTAATCAGGGGTCGCCACAGCGGAATGAACCACCAATTTATCCAGCACATGTTCTACGCAGGGGATGCCCTTTCAGCCAACACCTAAACTGGGAAGCACCCACAAACTCTTGCACACACTCACAAACACTACGGCCAATAGCTTATTCAATTCACCTGTACTGCATGTCTTTAAGGGAAACTGGAGCACCCGGAAATCCTCACCAACACGGGGAGAACATGCAAACTCCACACAGAAATACCAACTGACTCAGCCGAGGCTTGAACCAATGATCTTCTTGTTGTGAGGCGATTGTGCTACACACTGTGCCACCATGCTGCCTACAGTATTCATATCTGACCACATTTAACAAAGGGACATTCCCAAAATAAGTGAGCAACAGATTCAGAAGAAGTCTCACAAAAAAACAAGAGACGTTAATGTCATATTTGAATTTCTGTAAAAAAAATTGTTTAGCTGGATAAAAATCTGTGAATAATTTTAAAAGATATTTCTTTAATTTTTTTTGTTCAAAAAAAAAAACTTCTTGGAGAATGACCAAACATAAGACCATTTATTATCATTAAAAAGGTTGGAAGAAATGGAAAATTTATTTGAGATGACAGGATCTAAAAATTAAGACTTGATTTTATGGTTGGATTTTTTTTTATTGGAGAAACTGTGACATACAGAAATCAACTAATTATTACTATTTCTAAAAAGCATACAAATCTCAGAGGAGATAACCTTACAAACAATATTAAATTATTTTCTAGATATGGACAGAGTATATCAAAGTAAAATCAAAGTAAATAAATGATCACTGACGCACTGCTGACTTGTTCCAAACCAGTTTTAGTTTTCTTTTCTTCTGTTGAACACAATAGAAGACAGAATAGAATACACAATATATATTGAGTAATGTTGGAAAAAGGTAACTATTGACATCCATAGCAGGAAAAACAAATACAATGGAAGTCAATGGTGACAGGTTTACAACATTTTTCACATTCTTCTTTTGTGGTCAATTAAATTAAAACTGGTCTGGAACAATAGTAGGATGATGAGTAAATAAAAAAAAACAATCCCTTTAACAATTATTTAGAGGTATTGCAAGGTTTCAGTTTCTTTATCAGTTAAAGTGAAACCTTTGAGTTTCTTTTTTCACAAACACAAATGAAGATATTTTGAAGATGGAAACCCATAGACAAAAATGGTTTTCTTGCATAACAAGTATTGTTGACACTTTACATTTATTTCCATATACATTAAAACTTGTTCAGTTGATTTGCTCTTTTATTTGCTTTCTGACTTATTAGGGCAAAATTTATTTTGATGACATATTAAAGGATTACGTTCACTCATTTACTCAACCTTCACTTGTTTCAAACCCTTATGAGTTTCTTTTTTCTGTTAAATACAAAAATGATGAAAAATGGAATCCTATTACCAATGACTGCCATAGTAGGTTTCTTTTCGATATCAATGGTTACAGGTTTTCAGCTTTCTTCAAAATATCTTCTTGTGTTCAACATAATAATAAAAAAAACTTATAAAGGTTTGAAACCTGGTTTTAAAAGGGTGAGATTTGTAAAGGGTGAGTAAAAAGTGGGTAATTTTTGTTTTTTGGCTAACTATGCCTTTGACTATAGCTTTAACATTTGTGGTGTGCCTAGTGGTTATTTACTTAATAGTAATCAATCCAGTAGTGACGATTTATTTTTAATTGCACATTACATTAGTAGGTCTGTAACAACTAGAACTGATTACATTCAGTTTCCATATACATTAAAACTTGTTTTAATATTTGATTTGCCTTTTTTTTCTGGGGTAAAATGAATGACTACATTTTACTTGTTATTTCTTTTTTTTAGGGCAAGGCTTATCCTGATGACATATTAAAGGATCCAAAGGTCAACATTCAACCTAAACATGAAAAATATCCAATAAAAACACGTTAATGCTAATAACAACGTAGATTAAAAAGTTTTGAATTCTTATTACTTAACATTGTTGTCCCAGACAAATTATTTCAATTTTTCCAGTTTCAAGTTTGTATCTCACCACCTCTTCACACATAAAGATGTATTAAAATAACCTTTTTACATGTCTTTTGTATTACTTACTTGTAATTAAAGATCAATTATTCTGCTTTTGTTACACTATGTAATACAATTTTAAAGATATTTTACTGTGCGTCAACGTTACAAAATATATTTAGCATATATTACAGAAAAAAATACATTTTAAAAAGCATGCCAATCCTGTTGGATTATTAAAAACTTTTGTATAAACTTCACATCCATAATCCAAACCTATTTCCATCGGAGACTGATTCCCCTTCTAAAATAACCCTGAAATTACACTTGTTATTTTTGTATAATTATTTGAATATTGATGATAATAATGAGCAGCACAGTGGCTCAGTGGTTACCAGTCACCTCACCGAAAGAAGGTCGCTGGTTTAAGTCCCAGCTGGGTCAGTTGGCATTTTTGAATGGAGTTTGCATGTTATCCCAGTGTTGTCATTGGTTTCCTCTAGGGTTTCCCTCAGTCCAAAGACATGAGCTATGGGTGGATTGAATAAGCTAAATTGGCCATAGTGTATGTGTGTGAATGAGTGTGTATGGATCTTTTCCAGCACTGGGTTGCAGCTGGAAGAGCATCCGCTGTGTATAACATATGCTGGATATGTAATCGGTTCATTCCGCTGTGGCAACCCCTGAAGAATAAAGGGACTAAGCCGAAGGAAAACGAATGAATGAATAATAATAATGATAATCAAAGTCAAACTCCAACAGACCCAAAATGCAACCATACTTTATGTCAGCACCATTTATATACTGTAGTTATTATTCATATTATTAATTTATTCAGGTAAAACAAGTTATATGCATGGTTATGTATTTATAATGTATACTGTGAGTCACTGCAATATTTTGCAGGGTTTTTTTTACTGAGGTCACATTTTGTACAAATCCCTGCGCACTTACTCACATGAAACAAAACATTGATCTAACTTTTATGACAATGCTTTTGTGTACTTAGAAATGCTGTATGCAAAAGAGTGTCAATGAACCAAGGTTATTATAGTTAATGAAAATGAACGAAAAAACAAAAACTAAAATTTTAAATCATTTTCGTTAACTGAAATAAAAATTAAAATAAAAACAAAAGTTATTTAAAATAGAGAAGCAGTGAACTGATAATACTGTGCATGCGTGAATCAGCAGATAGTTAACCGAACACAAACACTACATGACAGCTTACTGTGACTGAACTAAAGAACAACTGCAGCACGGATAAACTGGGAGCTTAAATAAGAGGATTAAATGAGTTTATTTCATAACAGAAATTCGAAATGGAATTTAAACAAGTGAGTTCAGGTGGGTTGCAGATCTTCACTGTAAGACACTTTCCAGATCATGATGATGTTTTAACTAACTAAAACGATAACTGCTGACTACATATTTTTGGTATGTTAAGTCCATGGGAAGATTGTAACAAAAGTGTCCGGTTCACGTTAAAGATCTGAACCTCCCATCACTACTGTGTATATAACCTCAGAAGCAGCCTTGCACACAGATTGTACTCAGGGCTGCTATCTTGTGGGCTGTAGTATTTCAATTTGAGGATGAGTATATGGTAGTGGCAGATGATAGTGGTAACGTGTGCTGTGAATACGGTTAAAAAAATTATCTTTGCTTGAGTTTTTATTACACAATATTTATTTTGCTGATTTTGAATCTTGCGCCTAATAAATATACTTATTTACAAAACAAAAACTAAAACTGTAACTAATAAAAACTTAGCAATTTCAAAATATAGATATAGAAACTAATAAAAACTAGTGAATTAAAACTAACTGAATCTGAATACAAAAAAAAAAAAGTTATACGATTATAATGTTGCAATGAACATTGTTGATTCTCACCTTGAAAAAACTATGTTTTTACAGCTGCAGATCCGGGTAAAGCATCATTTGCATAATTTTTTATTTCACCAAATCCAATGTTACCTTTATTAAAAAGCAACATGATCTGAAGATGAACAGCAGATACAAGTCTTAGTGAACTGACCAAACTATGTCCTTTATTAGAAAGACGGCGCAGTCCTCCAAGAGCGCTACAACTTGTTAGGATGTTACATGCCAAATATACAGTCTTACATAAAAGTGCAATGTCACAATGGATAAGCAGTATCTTTATTATTTGATCATTCTTACAACTTAATAAACAGAACAAAGTTAGTAATAATTTATTTACCATAACCCCTAGCCACTCTCTATGCTGAATCTGAAGTAAGAATGCCACGGCACAGAGGACGTTTGTATGAAGTTCCTCTAAAACAGTTTTTAAAGGCACTTTCACAAGTACATAGTACAGAGATGTGCATGGACACACTGATTAAACAGCAAATAAGAACAGAGATTCTGCTACGGTGTGTAGATCAGCGGGGAGAACATTTCTCAAGGCTTTAGCTGAGAGACAGACCATCTCAAACATCAACGTAACGTACATTCTTAAAATAAAGAAAATAAAAACACTTGCTTGTAATATAAATTGGTAATTAAAAGGCTTTTCGTATTGTATGTTCTTTATAACGTTGTTTAAAAACAGGCATTGCTTATATTTCTCGTAAGGTTAGGTACATTTTGGTTCAGAGATGGACAATTTTGTCATTATCCACACATTTAGCATATTCTACCTAAATATGAGTAAACTGTTGTGTAACTATCAGTGAATACAGTACACACATACATACACGCAGACACAGTAAGTTATTGTCATTATAATGTAAAAGATAATGCGAAATCCTAGATCTTTTATGTTGGAGTGAAAACACATTGTAGTTATATATATATATATATATATATATATATATATATATATATATATATATATATATACATACAGTATATAGTGTTCTTTGTCTTTGGATACCTTGAGTGGCTGACTAACTTAAAGGAACAGTTCTCCCAAAAATGACAAAAACTTTTCATTTTTCATCCTCAGGCCTTTAATTAGGTAGGTGAATAAAACCATGGTGCTCGGTTGTTTTATATACACAGTATATAATGGGAAGACGTAAGATTCTTATTTTTATTTTTGAAAGAGAATGTCTATACTCACTGGAAATCAAAACTGATATCCACCCTAATAACAATAGCAAGGCTTCTATGGAACAAAATCAGTGCCAAAAGTACTGAATTAAAATGCTTGTTGAGTAGCACAAACTGAACAAAACAATACACTGAATGAGACTGCTCTGAAGTGCTTGCATTTTAATGAATTGCCAGGGTTTGTATTTTTAGGTCCTGAAATTTAACATAGCTGTTTATTTAAGCTGTGAATATTTCAACTAAAAATATTTCAAACACATTTCCATACTTTTAAATTCAATAATTCATAATCAATTACCAGATTTTACTAACAAAATATTCAATACTGTTTAAAAATATGATGTATAATATTCAAAAGGCAATTTTCAGTTCATTATTTCAATTCAAAAATTTGCTTCCATAAATTCAGTGGTTCAAATTAGACTGTTAAATTTGACACTATATCCAGGAACTGCGGGGAAAGCGATGGATTGCAAATTGAAGATCTCCAGCAGCCTTTTCACCAGCAGGTTGAGTTGGAATCATTTAAGATTTTTAAACCAGTAAATAGGCGAGAAAAAACTAATAACGGCAAAAGCGTAGCATTTAATATTAATAACAGTGTCTTGGACATTTACTCAATCATTTTTATTATTTACAATGTCCAAGACACTGATATTAATATCAAACGCTATGCTTGTGCTGTTATTAGTTTTTTCAATCTTCAAAATGTAATTGAATATTATACATCGTATTTTTAAACAGTATTAAATATTTTGTAAGTGAAATCTGGAAATTGAATATGAATTATTAAATTTATAAGTATGGAAACGTGTTTGAAATATTTGTAGTTGAACTATTCACAGCTTAATTAAAATTTTATTTCTAAATGTTAAATTTTAGAACCTAAAAATACAAACCCTGGCAATTCATTAAAATGCAAGCACTTGTTAATTCAGTGTATTCTTTTTCTCAGTTTGTGCTATTCAGCAAGCTTTAATTCAGTACTTTTGGCATTAATTTTGTTCCATAGACTTCTTTATAACTTACAAATGGTTCCAATGCTTACCCCTGTGGGATGCTGCATTTTAAGACATGCTTTCACAAGTACCTGGGCGACCCTGAAGATGTGATTTAAGAAAAATGTGGCTAATAATAATTCCTTGCATATCACTTTGCTTCTCAATGTATCATTAGGAGTCATGCCTATTCCTTTAGTTTTGCCTGTTTATGTTTTATTGACCTTCAAAGTGGCAGGTTGGTCTTAGCCATTCATAAAATGGAAGTCAATGGGTGATTGACTTCAATTTTATGAATGATAAAAGACCACATTTACAGCTACAAATCTAATTTAAATGTTGACCATTTAAATGTGGTGATGCCATTGGCCTATGAACATGTCCTGCTTGTTGTCAAACTATTTCAATCAAGATGCAGTTCAATCCTAACTTAAAATTAAAATAGCTATAATAATATTATTTATCAATATGCAGACCTTTTTGGATTCTCAGAAGCTATAGAAATTAAAAACGTAAAAAAGGAAATACGTTAGGACGATTGTTATTGTTTACATCCCTCAAAACAGTTTATTAAAGAGTCACCTACATCTTAAAAGGCCTAAAGGTGAAAAAACGAACAGAAAATGTTTATTTTTGTGTGAACTATCCCTTTAATTTGAGCACCGTGCTGTATGTGACATTATTACAAAGGGTTCAATGAAACAGCACTATTTCGTGAAAGCACTGCAGTAACAGTCTCTGAGTCCATGGCTATTGGCATCATTCCCTTGTTTGGAGAAACAGCAAGAAATATTGCCTCGAAAGTTTCTAGAAAAGTACTTGCATATGACAACTACAAGGATTATCGTTCATGCTTATAGGACAGAACTGAGCCGAGCGTTTTAGACAGCTAAGCAGACAAGGAAAAGATCCTCAAAGCCTATCCGCATCAAACTCTAAGCAGCACTTGAAGAACTTGACTTTTTTGGCAGCTAGACTTTACTATTCACATATTACATCTAATTAAGCAGATAGATACTAAAAAAATATCGTTTATAGTGAGTGGATGTTCCAAACTGACAAGAAAGTACATAAAAAGAGAAATGAAATTTAAAAAGTGTACGTTTATATACACTATATATATATTTCTTTCATTCTAAATAAGAAAAACAAGCTCTTGAAATAAGTAAATGGCAGGGGAAAAAAAGTTCTTCAAAAGTAAGCAGATGTGGTTCTTTTACACAAACTCCCTGGGCGTTTATTCAAATATTACTATCAAAAATATAATATTCAAACTAAAAGCCTCGCTGATACAACTTAACATCAACAGCCAATCAGGAAGGGCAGAAGATGTGACATCACATGCCCTTATATGGCAGTGTGCTTCCAAACCTCAGCAATCCACACATCCTCACTTCAAATAGTCCTGACGAATTAAACACTCTGAGATGTAAAGACACATTTCCCACAATCCTAATGCTGTAAACAGAGAAACCAAAGACCCTGCTTAGTTTCCGTAATTATTATTATTATTCACATTTAGCAGTGTTTCTAGTGGATGCAAACTACTGATATACAGAAAGTCACCTTGAAAGGGATAGTTCACAGAGAAATGAAAATTCTGTCATCATTTACTCAAGAGGTTCAAAGCCTGTTTGAGTTTCTTTCTTCGCACAAAAGAATAGATTATGAAAAATCTCGGAAACCAGTAGCCATTGAAATCCTACACCGTAAAAAAAAATCTGTAATTTTGCGGTTTATTTGCGGAAAAAAAGTCAAATAACGGCTGTTAAATTACAGAAATTTACTGTAAAATAACAGGTTAAATTAAATTAATGTCTGTTATTTTATAATAAATTTCTGTAATTTAAAAGCTGTTAATTTAAGCTAAATAATGTCAATAAACTGTAAAATTACAGATTTTTTACAGTGTACTGGTTTCCAACATACTTCAAAATATATTATTTTGAGCAAGAAACTCAAAGTGGTTTCTTCAGTAAATAATGACTGAAATTTAATCTTTGGGTGAACAACCCTGCTAACAACAAAGGAAGCTGTGGTGAATTTGTTGCTTTCTTTAAAATCATCCTTAATCACTAGACAGAGGGTATTAAAGTGTCGGATAAGCATGCAAACGTTTTTGGATACACATACAGTACATTGCTTCATTAAGTTGCAGGTGTCTCTAAAATATCCACTTGAGCACAGAAACTGAGACAATCGAACTCTCTGAGATAGCAAACAGCAGTTTAACTAACTCTACCCTTCCTCTGAATCATGCTTATTGGCCGACGTTATTCTAAGTTTATTAATAATCCCTATAATAGTGTTGGAATATTACACACACTACATTCAAAACTACGGTTCACCCAAAAATGAAAACTGTTTATTCAACCTTCACTTGTTTTAAGCTTGCATGAGTTTGTTTCTTCTGCTAAGCACAGATAATAGTTTCCAAGATAAAGAAAAGTCTTACTATTTACTCTCCTTTGAGTGGTTGAATGGGTTTTTTCTACTGATCTGAATAGAAGAATTTTTGATGAAAGCTAAAAACCGGTAACCATCGACTTCCATAGTAAAAATAAAAATAACTAGATGGAAGTCAATGGCTACCGGAGTTACATTTCTTCTTTTTTGTTGAACAGAAGAAGGTCAAACAGGTTTGTAATAAGTGAAGAATGAGTAAATGATGACAGATTATTTCCTTTTTGGGTTAACTATTACTTTAAGTAGCCAAAGAACTGTCTTTGAATCCCCATTGACTTCTACAGCATTCTTATGGAATTTCAAGAGCATTCTTCAAAATATCTTCTTTTGCGTTCAGCGGAAGAAGAAACCTAAATCATACAGGTTTGAAAGACGAGTAAATATTCATTTATGGGTGAACTATCCCCAAAAATGGCTGAACCACAGTACTTTAAATACCTATATTTGCTTAGTCTACTTTCCAAATCGAATGAAATGTCGCAGAATGAAGAAATGACTCTGGCTCTGACTGCAGTGGTCCAAATCTCACGATTTCTCCTCTCCGTCCCTGAAAAATCCTCACATGGTGCAGGATTTGTCCAATGGATCCTGTGGCGGAGCTGCCGGATGCTGCGCCGCTCCAGTTTTGGGCACCGGCACCATGGGTTTGGGCCTCAGGGTGGGCGGTTTGAGCTGTACCCCCATACGAGGCGCCACCGCAGGCTTGAAGGTGCTCATGGTGTCGCTGGAGGAGCTGGTGCTGCGGCGCATGTGTAGCTCAGTGCCAGCAGGCCGCAGCAGGAGGCCGTGGAGTTGGCTGAGGGACTCAGTGGAGCTGGCCGGGGTGGGAGCGTTCTTCATCTGCTCCAGGGTGTCCAGCACCACGTCTGGGGCGTGTTTGGCAGAGCTCTGGCGCTCCAGTTCCTTCAGCTCATTCAGAGCAGTGTTCATCGTCTCCTCTATGTCCTGCAACCCAGAGAATGGATGTTAGAGTGAAAAATCCTTTTGTTTTGAAGCAGTAGTTTTGGAGCGCATATCAAATTGACAGGGTCATGTTTTCAAATGGGAATTTGTTATGTCATAAGTGTTTCGAAACATTTAGAAAATTGAATGGTTATCCACTTGAGAGCTGTAATACCTGCAATGCCATGAAATACACATTAATATTGCAGGTTCATTCAGATCGCCCCCTAGTGGGAAATCACCGAACAGTTTTTGTCAAGTTCAGATCAGTTTTACAAGTTTGCAGACATTTGTAAAATGAATTTAGATGATGAGCTAAGTTCATATATAGGTTCAACTTTCAATTTCAGTTTTCTAACAGTAATCATGCGACTTGGCAATACAAGCAGACAATACAATGCTAGGAAGGCTGAATTAAATGTACAGCACTTTCAATATGAAATGAGCAGACTGTTAGTATTAAAGATGATTTTAAGTTAAACAATGAGTATTAGAGAAACTGTAAATGTTGTAAAGCTAGTGGGGTCATATTTGTTTTAGAATAATTTTGCCTTTTTTATATTTGAAATTATTAATATTGCATATTAATATGAATTGAATATGCCTTATTCATGAAGCACAAGCAGAATAAATTTGTTTGTAAACCTATTTGTACTGCAAGATATATACAACACTTTTCCAATATCCCGGTTTGCTTTTTGTTGAGTTTAAGGGGCCAGTAAACGTTTTCTTAAACAATTGTTTTAGATTGTTTTTCTCTTAAAATAATTACTTAAGAAGCAGCTCTAATTTTAAGATAAAGATTTTGTTTAATCAACAACAACAACAACAACAATAATAATAATAATAATAATAATAATTATAATAACAAAATGTTAAAAAACAGTATGATAAAATAATATATAGTTGTGGATGTTTTTTTTACAACAAATATAAATGTCTTTAATTACTATTTATTCACATAAAAGCCCTCATGAAACTATATTTTTTTACACACACTCACACACACACCCACACACACACACCCACACCCACACACACACACACACACACACACAAACATAAATACAGTTGATTTGACATTTTCCTTCAGCCTAGTTCCTTTTCAGGGTCGCCACAAAGGAATGAACCAACAACTATTCTGGTATATGCCCTTCCAGCCAAAACCCAGTACGTGGAAACACCCATACACTCACACACATACATACACTATGGCCAGGGCTTGACATTAACTTTTTTGATCACCAGCCACTCTGCATCTTTACTAGCCACAATTTTGTTGTTGGGAAAATATATTCATTCACTTATTTTCTTGCCAGCTTAGTCCCTTTAATAATCCGAGGTCGCCACACCGGAATGAACCAACTTATCCAGCAAGTTTTTACGCAGCGGATGCCCTTCCAGCCACAACCCATCGCTGGGAAACATACACACGCACACTCATACACTACGGACAATTTAGCCAACCCAATTCACCTGTACCGCATGTCTTTGGACTGTGGGGGAAACCGGAGCACCCGGAGGAAACCCACACGAACGCAGGGAGAACATGCCAACTGAGCCAAGGTTCGAACCAGCGACCCAGTAACCTTCTTGCTGTGAGGCAACAGCACTACCTATTGAGCAACTGCATCGCCCCCGAAAATAAATTTTAGATGTTTAAATTTGACTTTGGCATGTTAAAATTACTTGATTTAGATGTTTTGTTGTGTCTACATGCCGCTTTATTTATTTCACTGTGTGTTGTGTATGAGCTTGCTCAATGAGCATGAGCAAATGGATTCTGTCACAATGCAATCAGTTTTTATTTCACATGACTTTTTATGGCTTAAAATTAAGGATTTACCAAATTGATCTCTGACCACACCAAACATAAATGACTATTTTATAGCCACATATTTTAAATAATGTGTCAAAACAAGCTAAATTTAGATCAACAAAACGTTTCTTTAAAAAAAAAAAAAATTGACATTTAAAAAAGAATTATTGTCATCTAAAATATACACTGTAATCTGTCCTGGCTAAAGATCCCAGACCACCAGTTAACTACACATAAATGGGGAGTTAATCTCATATTAAAGCAATGTTATTCTAAAATAAATAATAATTAAACCATATTAACAAAAATAACTGTAAGCCAAAAAAAAGCAGGTGAAAAGACATACCGTGTGTGATGATGAAAGGATGATCACACGCACACGGTTCATGTCAGGCCTGTTAATAATCTGTTAAAACAACAATTAAAGTGAAAGCAGCGACTGCTATATATGTTTTTTATTTTAAATATTGAGCTCTTGAAAGCAGCAGGACTGTGGGTGCATGATCATTGCTTTTTGTCCAGTCTATTTCAAAGAAAACCGATGCCACTAGTTGTGTTTCCACTAGTAAACAGGAGCTTGCATGCTTTTTTAACAGTCGTGTGCATCACATCACCTGTGCCCGGAAGTGATCATCCTCTCATTTGGTATACACCTGCTTTATTTTGCTCACGCGAACAGTTATTTTTGTTAGTCATGCTGCTTCTCGATTCTAAGGTCACATTTGCACAAATATAGGGCCATCCTTATCGTCGAACCCTGCTTTTAAGAAAACTACAATTTGTAAATTATTTTCAACCAGCCAAATTGGCTAGTGGGAGTGTCTGTCTAACCTGCCACAGCTGAAATGTACCTGCATTTGGCGAGTTGGTGGATGTTAATGTCAAGCCCTGACTACAGCCATATTACAGTAGTTCATTCAATTCACTTATAGTGCATGTTTTTGGACTGTGGTGGAAACCGGAGCACACGGAGGAAACCCAAGCCAACACAGGAAGAACATGCAAACTCCAAATAGAAATGCCACCTGGCTTAGCCGGGACTCGAATCAGCGACCTTCTTGCTGTGAGGTGACAGTGCTAACCACTGAGCCACCATGCCGTCTCCATAACTTAAAAAGTGTAATCAAAAGTAATCAAATGTCATTTAAGAAAATCCCCTTAAACTAAATGTTGACTAATTAACCAAGTAGTCTCTGCCTGTGCTTCATTAATGAGGCCCAGTGTGTGAGTATGTGTGTGTGTTGCAGATGTTATTAGTCATTAGTACCAGGAGGCAGTAACTGACTATGTTACAGGGCAGGGCCTGCAGCGCATGGTGTGAGTGGCGTCGTCGCTCGCCTCCCGCTGACCTGTGCGATGCTCTCGGGGTCCAGACTCTTGACATGAGGCTCGTTGAAGCTGCTGTACTGTCCTGAAGAGGTGGACCGGCGGATGGGTGGACTCTCCATCTTCTTAATGGACTCGTGGCGGCTGATGTTGGTCAGGCTGCCATGGCCTGTTCGCCGTCGTCTCTCTGGACTGTCCATGGGCATGTGTCCTCGGCCCCTCAGCATGTCCCGCGGGCTGTAGTGGCCCATCACCGGAGAGCCCAGATCTGGGTTGGTATGGCTGCTGTGATGAGATGGGTGGACGAGGCAGTGGGTGTCAGTTGGGCGAGCCGGAGGTCTGCGGGTTGGAGGGTCACTTCTCTTTCTGTGCCTGGTAAATGGAGAGAAATATGTAAGGAGTAATTCAACAGCCATCTCATCCTGTTCAACAGGGTCATGTGATTGGAGAGTGATTTGGGTGTAAAGCAATATGACGTTTTCAGTTGAAGTCAAAATTATTAACCATCCTGTTAATTTTGTTTTCTTTTTCAAATATTTCCCATATGATGTTTAACAGAGCAAGGAATTAACACAGTATTTCCTATAATATAGTTTTTTTCTTTGGCTAGAATTAAAGAAGTTTTCTTTAAAAAAAAAAAAAAAACATTTTAGGGTCAATATTATGGCCCATTTCCACTGAGTGGTACGGTTTGGATCGGTTCGATATGCGTTTATGGCCGTTTCCACTGTTAAAAGGTACCTAAAAGTGAATCGTACCGTACCACTTTTTGGGTACCCTTTGCAAAAGGTACCTAGCACAGCAAAAGGGTGCCAAAAGGCGGAGCTAGAGGCGCAGCTGAACACTATTGGTTTACAGAGAAACGTCACTAGCGCATACACAAACGGGAAATGAAAATAAAGGAAGCGCCATTATTAAATACACAGCCGAGTCATTACACCATAATAATATATACATATAATAATGAGCCATGGTTGAATCGAGCTTAGACAAACTTTGCCGTTGTCTTGAAGTACAGTCACAAAGCCAAGAAGAACAAAATCTGCCGGGTGCTGTTTTTGTTTTTGGAGGCCGTTTAAAAGTGCGAGCGGTTTCATTTTCTCCAGGGAGCTCGCGATCTCTCATGTGAACGTCTATATTTGAAATAGCGAACTTCTTGAGCTGTTGATAATAATGAGCGTGTGATTATTGAAGTTCATTTGGCAGCATCAGCATGCTTTAACCTTCAGTGCTGATACATAAGGCTCTACACTACAGAATGTCTGTGGTAAGACTTACAGGCTGACAAGAAACAGCTTAGCAGGAGTCATAATGATGAATTATGGCTGAGAATATGACAGGATTAACTGCAAGAGCTACTCAGATGATGCCTGGTGCCAGGAAAACAAAGAGGTTTTTAAAGTGAAAGTGTCAAAATTTTGGCATATACAGTAGTCCATCCATTTAGTCTATATACGTCATGTAAAAGTCAGAATGTGTTTTTAGAGATAACAGTATCAGTAAAAAGCATCTAACTTACAGTTTTTCTCAATTGCTGAAACACTAAAACCCTTTGAATTAAGTTCTCAGTTTCCTGACCTCATTTAGCTAATTGTGCAGTCTGTTGTCAATACCAGGGGTGTCCCTGCAGCTTTTAGCTCCAACTTGCCTCAACTCACCTGCAAGCATGTTTCTAGAAAGGCTGATAAGAGTTTGATTAGCTAGCCCTGGTGTTTCTGATTGTGGTCGGAACCAAACTTTGCAGGACACTGGCCCTCCAGGGCCGAGTTTGGGCACCGCTGCCTTAAACCATTCAACATGGTAAAACACAATGTGCAGATCTGACTTAAACTTTTCAGCAAAACTTTAAACACATTCTCATTCACAAAACACATTCTACACTCTAATGCACATGTCATCCAAGCTGGTAAACACAAGTAGCAACAATCAAATACAAACAGAGAAAATATGTCATTGATTAAACACAACCACTCAAAAGTGACGTCACGTTATTCAAATGATGTGACAACCGATATAAGCAAACAGGTTGTTGAAGGTTGGAAGGAGAGTGTGTAAGCACGATTAGAAGAAACAATGTCAGAGGACGAGTGCAATGGGCAGTTTTTCACTATACGACAGACTGTCCTCTTAAACCACCAAAACCAGCAAGCGTGCCACACACAAATAAACACAAACACATACAGGTATTCGTGGTTTATTCCATATCATTACACAAAAGACTGTCCAGGTAAACCACTAAAACCAGCACACACACAGAGGGTTGTTTCTGTGAATTGTGGGGACATTACATAGGTTTCCATTGTTTTTATACTGTAAAAACTGCACTCAAAAATGATGCTTGCAGAAACAACGTACATAAGTCAAGCTGAAACAACACAACTCTTGAGGTTTTTTGTAAAAACTTAATTATATTGCAACCCAGGCTCATTCTGAAAGCGTAGTCCCGTGAATGTTTCTGGAGATCGCGAAATATGTCCTGGAGGTGCGTATTTGAGCAGTTTTGGTTTTCGCGAATCCGCTAGAGGCAGATGTGTGCGCTTTTTCACATCTTAAATGTCTCTCCCGAGTGCCGTTCGTACCCACGCTGTTCTCGCATAAAGCCACCAGAGGCCACTGTCTTACGACCGCCTCTCTGACTGGATGAATGACCGGCCACCCTCCTCCTTCCCCAGACCCAACATCAGAATTATAAATTTGCAATGACGAAATTACATTCTAACAAGAGGTAACAAGTGCTGGTGAAGATTAAAGATACAGATGAGGTTTGCACTGACTGTAGGCTATGTTGCGTGTTGTTTTTGAACTTAAATAAGGACCCTCCTCCTTCCCTGGACCCAACCAATTTTACCGATTAACCCACTTACCCGCCTACTTTCCTAAACCCAACCAACAATTTACAAAAGCCATCCAGCCCTCGTCGGAATTTTACCATGTTTTTGGATTTTACCACATTCTCACCCTGTTATGAACTTGTTCTAGGGATGCTCAAAATAATCGATTAACCGTTAACCGAAAGGGTGTGTTTGTGACCGATTAATGCTATCAATTAAACGATTAAAATTATTATTTTATATATTTTTAGTTTGGCTGCATAAGTGGCCGATTGAATGCGCCTTTGCGTTAAGAGGGGTATCTTTTGCACGCGGCTCATCCCAGAGCAGTAGTTTGTGTTGTCAAGACAACTAAAAAGAACTTTTAAAGAGCTTGGTTTCCGATACATTCATTCTTCCATGGCGGGGACCAAAATGCATTCATCAACAACTACATTACCCATTCAAAACATTCAGTTATTGCTGTTGTTTTTAATAGCGGATTATAATCGCATCAAAACGTAATAAAAGGTAAGTGGATTATAACAGCACAAACTTTTCTGTAACCGTATAGTGCTGTGCGCTCTCTGTTTAATCCTTTGGCGTTACGCACTGACAGACTAACTGACAGGTGCGCGATGCGTGAGGCCAGCAAACACGCAGAAGCTTTCAGTTAAGATGAACACAGTTTCTATAGTTATACTTTCTTTATAGATAAAGTATAACTCTGTATATAATCACTGTATCTTGCTTGAGTTTATAGCCGTTTCGCTTTACTTCAGGACGCATTATTGCCACTCTGAAGGTCTAATCGCTGTTTTAAGTTATCCAGAGCTGTATGAATGTACAAATATTAAATATCATAATATTATTAAATATTACAATTTTAACAACATATACAGCAACACTTTTTCACAATCGATACCCAGCTGATTCAGTCGTTTCATAAGAGGACCGCGCTTCTTCTCTTCTTTTTTCCTTGTCAACATAAAGGCAGTGAGGTGCGCCTCGCGTTTTTGGAATGAAAAAAGCACGTTAGCTGTGGTCGGCCACTTGTTCACCTGCAAGACATACTTAACTTGCGGGACGATAACGTATAACCCGTGCCTACAGGCACATTTGCCAAAGAAGCAAAATGGAAGAAGAATATTGCTGTTTAACAGACGCGTTGATGCCAAAAAAAAAGCGCTGATATTGACCTGGATCTGCATCATAAACGCAACAAATAGGCTTAAACTTTTATTTTATAGCATATAAAGCATGTATGCACATTAATGCAATATCATATTTAAACAACACAACTGTTTACAAAAAGTCAACATGTTGTCTTTTCATCACGCAGCGCGCGCACTTGAGCCGCGATGGAGAGAAAGGAAACCATAGCAAGACATAATCTTTAAAATAATGATTTCTATTAAAAATGTAAAAGGTTTTGTGATTATAATAATAACAGCGGGGCATTAAATAAATGCATATTTTCCGTGGAGCGAGCGATTTGAGGAAGTCTGCGATTTTATTTGATGGAAGACAAAAATATGATTGGAAAAAAGCAGCCTATGCCGGTTATTAAAAAGAATCAGTCAGTGTTTTCGATTTGTTATAAAAATTAATTATTTAAGTGAAAATAATCTAGGGCAGTCCTATTTGTTTTATTCATTTTATTTAGCTTATTCTGTTCTTCTGTGCTAAACACTGCAGGTGCGTGAAAATGCTCTGTTGTATTGTTGTATTATTAATATGCTAGCATATAAAAATAAATCAGTATTTTAAAATGCAATATTTAATGTGTCAGACACAAAATAGACATGTCAATTTGTTTAATATAAAATTAATAGTAATCTGACGAGTTAACCGTTAATAACCGATTAATGAGCGGCAGTTGTCGGTTAGCAAAATTAACCGAAATGAGCATCCCTAACTTGTTCACTTTATTTTTTGTATACCTAATTTTCCTAATTTGTATTTCCTATTTTTCTAACCTAATTTCTTTAACCACGTCGTCGTGTTAAGCTCCTCTCTGCGTCTCAAGTCCGCTGACGAGCTAACTGGACAAACTGGTTGTGGCGGAAGAGCCCTCCACACAAAGATAAGCGGTCAGCCGGTAAGCGCTAAAAGGAACGGCGTCATACCACCCTGTAGCATTCGCTTAAAAATGAAATGCAGCCATACGTACCACTGGCTACATAATTCGCGGTCTCCGGAAACGTCCGCGGGACTCGGTTTTTAGAATGAGCATGGGTTGTTATTTTTTTGTTCAGTCCACCGACTTTAAAAAAAAAACTAATCAATTAACTTTAAGTTTCTTCATGCTGTCCCAACACAAATCGATAGTGTGGAACCCAGCATTTTTTAATCGTCCTACCCCAGCCGACCCCTAAACCCAACCCTCACAAAATATGTGTACAGTTTTACCTTCAGAAAAAAAACATCATTCAGTTGGATTTATAAGCTCATGTTCATCAGCAATGTCCTCATAATTCACCACCTTCTTGTAATACATGTGTCATACCCATGTAGTTATACAGATTTGCGTCCTGATATGCCACAAACACACACCCACAC